AACGTCACTGTATCCCGCTGTAACGTCACCATCCTGCTGTAACGTTACTGTATCCTGCTATAATGTTACCGTATCCCGCTGTAACGTCACTGGTTCCTGCTGTAACGTCACTGTATCCTGCTGTAACGTCACTGTATCCCGCATAATGTGACTGTATCCTTCTGTAATGTTACTGTATCCTGCTGTAACGTCACTGTATCCTGCTGTAACGTTACTGTATCCTGCTATAATGTTACTGTATCCTGCTGTAACGTCACTGTATCCTGCTGTAACGTCACTGTATCCTGCTGTAACGTCACTGTATCCTGCTATAATGTGACTGTATCCTGCTATAATGTGACTGTATCCTTCTGTAATGTTACTGTATCCTGCTGTTATATCACTTTCCTTATGTAACGTCAAAACCCTGCTGTAATGACACTGTATTGTAGGTGATGGTGCTCCTAACTGTACTCATCTGAAGAACACCCACCTGGGGAGTGGGGAGACGAGAGAGGAGGAGACGTGGGGAGGAGGAGACGTGGGGAGTGGAGAAACGAGTAGAGTGAGGAGACGTGGGGAGTGAGGAGACGTGGGGAGTTGGAGGACGTGGGGAGTAGAGAGACGTAGGGATTGGGGAGACGTGGGGGTGGGGAGACGTGGGGTTGGAGAGATGTGGGAGTAGAAAGACGTGGGGAGGGGGAGACGGGGTGGGGAGAGTCGAGAGACGTGAGGAGTGGAGAGACGGGGTGGGGAGATGTTGGGGTGGGGAGATATTGGGGTGGAGAGAAGTGGGAGACGTGGGGAGTGGAGAGACGTGGGTAATTAGGAGACGTGGGGAGGGAGAGACGAGTAGAGTGGGGAGACGTGGGGAGTGAGGAGACGTGGGGAGGAGGAGACGGGGAGTTGAGGACGTGGGGAGTAGAGAGACGTAGGGATTGGGGAGACGGGGATGGGGAGATATTGGGAGTGGAGAGACTTGGGGAGTGGGGGAGAAGTGGGGAGTGGAGAGACGTGAGGAGTGGGGAGAAAGAATGGAGAGAATTGGGAGACAAGGAGGGAGTGACGGGGAGTGGGGGAATGGGGAATGGGGAGTGGGGGAGACGTGGGAGGGAGAGACGTGAGGAGGAGAGAAAAGGGAATGGAGAGAAGTGGAGACAAGGAGAGTGGAGGACGGGGAGTGGAGACATGGAGAGTGGGGAGACGGGGATAGAGGAGACGGAGGAGTGGAGAGTGGGAATGGAGAGAAAGAGGAGACAAGGAGAGTGGAGGACGTGGGGAGTGGGGAGACATGGAGAGTGGGGGAGACGTGGGGAGGGAGAGACGTGAGGAGGAGAGAAATGGGGAATGGAGAGAAGTGGGGAGACAAAGAGAGTGAGGACGTGGGGAGGGGAGACGTGGGGAGTGGGAGAGACGTGGGGAGGGGAGACATGGAGAGTGGGGAGACGGGGAGGGAGAGAAAATGGGAATTTAGAAAAGTGGGAGACAAAGAGAATGGAGGACGTGGGGAGTGGGGAGACATGGAGAGGGGAGAGGGAGACGTGGGGAGTGGGAGAGACGAGGAGGGAGAGAAATGAATGGAGAGAAGTGGGGACAAGGAGAGGGAGAACGTGGAAGTGGGGAGACACAGAGAGGGAAGTGGGGATACAAGGAGAGTGGAGAAACGTGGGAAGTGGGGAGTGGGGGAGACAAGGAGAGTGGGGAGACAAGAAGAGTGGAGAAACGTGGAAGTGGGGAGACACGGAGAGTGGAGGAAACGGGGAGTGAAGAGACGTGGGGGAGTGGGGAGACAAGGAGAGGGAGAAACGTGGGAAGTGGGACAAGGAGAGGGAGAAACGTGGGGAGGAAGAGACGGGGAGGGTAGACAAGGAGAGGGGAGAAACGTGGGAGGGGGGGAGACAAGGAGAGGGGAGTGGGAGAGACAAGGAGAGTGGGGAGGGAGACAAGGAGAGGAGAGACGTGGGGAGTGAAGAGACGGGGAGGGTAGACAAGGAGAGGAGGAGAAACGTGGGGAGGGAAGACAGGAGAGTGGAGGAAACGTGGGGTGTGGGGAGACAAGGAGAGGGAGAAACGTGAGTGGGAAGACATGGAGAGTGGGAGAAACGTGGGGAGTGAAGAGACGTGGGAGGGTAGACAAGGAGAGAGTGGAGAAACGTGGGAGTGGGGAGACAAGGAGAGGGGAGTGAGAGACAAGGAGAGTGGGGAGTGGAGACAAGAGAGTGGAGAGACGTGGGGAGGAAGAGACGGAGGGGTAGACAAGGAGAGTTAGAGAAACGGGGAGGGAAGACATGGAGAGGGAGAAACGTGGGAGTGAAGAGACGGGAGTGGGGGGGAGACAAGGAGAGTGGAGAAACGTGGGGAGACAAGGAGAGTGGGAGTGGGAGAGAGACAAGGAGAGGGAGGGAGATAAGGAGTGGAGAGACGTGAGGAGAAACGTGGGAGGGAAGACGGGGAGGGAGAGATCGAGTGGGGAGACAAGGAGAGTGGAGGAGACGTGGAAGTGGGAGACGTGGAGAGTGGAGAAACGTGGGGAGACAATGAGAGTGGAGAAACGTGGAGAGTGGAGAAACGTGGGGGAGGAAGAGATGGCGCGAGTGAGAAACGGGGAGGGGAAGACGGGAGTGGGGAGACAAGGAGAGGGAGAACGTGGGGAGACAAGGAGAGTGGGGAGGAGAGACAAGGAGAGTGGGAGGGAGACAAGGAGAGTGGAGAGACGGGAGGGAGAAACGTGGGAAGTGGGGAGATGGAGAGTGGAGAGACGTGGGAAGGACAGGAGAGTGGAGAAACGTGGGGAGGGGGAGACAAGGAGAGGGAGAAACGTGGGGAGGAAGAGACGGGGAGGGGAGACAAGGAGAGTGGAGAAACGTGGGGAGACAAGGAGAGGGGAGTGGAGAGACAAGGAGAGGGAGTGGAGACAAGGAGTGGAGAGACGGGAGTGGGAGAAACGTGGGAAGGGGAGACAGGGAGAGGGAGAGACGTGGGAAGTGGGGAGACAAGGAGAGTGGAGAGACGGGAAGTGGGGAGACGTGGAGAGGGAGAAACGTGGGGAGGAAGAGACAAGGCGAGTGAAGAAACGGGGAGGGAAGACGGGGAGTGAAGACGTGGGGAGTGGGGAGACAATGAGAGTAGAAACGGGAGTGAAGAGACGTGGGGAGGGGGAGAAGGAGAGTGGAGAAACGTGGGGAGTGGGGAGACAAGGAGAGGGGAGGAGAGACAAGGAGAGGGGAGGGAGACAAGGAGAGTGGAGAGACGTGGGGAGGGAGAAATGGGAAGTGGGGGAGACACGAGGGAGAAACGTGGGGAGGGGAAGACGTGGGAGGAAGAGACGGGGAGGGGAGACAAGGAGAGGAGAAACGTGGGGAGGGGAGATGTGAGGAAGAGACGGGGAGGGAGAGACCATGGGGAGACAAGGAGAGGGAGAAACGGGGAGTGGGACATGTAAGGGAGGAGTCATAGGGAATGGAGGGGGAGAGACGAATGGAATGGCAGGATGCTGGGTGGAGTGGGGAAAGGTGACGATTATGGGACTTGTTTATAAGAGAATTAATCTAAAACGGCACAGACAGGGAGCTTAAAGAATAAGTGTCAAGTGGTAAGCAATGTAACGAGGTTGGCTGTAGTAACAAAGACACACATTCATTCAAAGGTACAAAGAGAAAGTAACACGAGATAGGTGTATGTAGGAGAGAAATACCAAACGTCTATATTATTGATGGTGTAGAAATAATCGCTTAGGAAAGATTAGCATAGAAATGTTCGTTGTTCCATAGTATACAGTACACAGTACAGTATATTTGTAGCATAGACAAGGACTATGTTAGCCGTGTGTCGGTGTATTTAGTAAACACTCAGTTGCCACAGACTACGGCAACTTGAACAAGCCCTTCTTAGTTTTAACTTGTACATACATCGTCGTACAACATGTAAGAGAGCAATTTAGACATTCAAATCTAAAGTAAAAGTGCACCCATGCACCAAAATAAGACGGCCTCACACCCAAACAATACTACCAACGCCAGCGAACACTCCAGGCAAACACATGAGCACACGCATGCGCACTTTGTAACAGCCGGTTATCGGGAACATATCCACGTATCTTAACTCTAAACATAGGGCGAGTTATTTCTTTTCAACTGTATGTAAATCCTTGTCTCTCTCACCTGTTACGTGTTTTGTCAATTGATAAATGTTTTTTGCAAATTTGTTTGTTATGAAGTTCACGAAACTATCGTATACATAACGTTTAGCTTAAGTTCCTATACATGCATTATTTTTCATCTTAAACCTTTGCACTGCTTCACACCTTTACCTGATTAGTACATAGGATGAAGAATATTTAAACCACAGCGTTTCAAGTTCAGAATGACATGTAACGAAAAAAACCCTAAGCGGTACAGTATAAGTGATAGCTGGACTACAAATGTGTCTAAAATCCCTACCTGACAACTGTAAGCAAGTGTCCTCAATAAAAGGACAGAAAATATGACGATGGGCAACAATTTGTTTATTGATACCAAAATATATTTTGTTGTGAGGGTTATTTTATTCGTTACGTCCCTCATGAGTGGCAGAGACTACCTACCCTTCCTTCTGTGGCTACACCCTTACACCTCGGCCTCACTCCGCCTAGCCACCTTGGAGGGGCATTTTCTTCGTTTATTGTGCAAGTTAATGATAGAGACACGTTATAACAGTGTGAGAACTCGCTCTAGGGCCCTCTGGTCACCTGTGTTGGATTTGACTATATAGGGAAAACATTTAAGAGCAGCTTTAGCACAGAAAGCATAGCATGACAAGAACATAACGATGATAGATGACGAATTTTATCATGTGTGTATCGACACATTTTCAGAGACATGTTGTGTGTATTCTAGAATATAATGATCGTAGTGAACGTCTTCAGTCCTACAAATGAAATAAAAAAAGACTCTCCTCCAGTTTGTGATATTTCCCAATAAGATTGGCAGTCGTGTCTGATGGTGTCTGGCAGCCGCGAGCGACCCACGTGATGACGTCATGGTCACGTGGTACAAATGGAGAACATGCAGGCGGAGCTCGCCACCTTGTAGAGAGAGTGGAAGCTTTTCAAGCTACACGTGTGCGATTTAGCATTCCAAGTGTATAAGAAGCGTGCATGAGTAATCAAGGTAAGCAGTTTTATAGTCCAGGTTTCAAATATAAAAGAAAAACGGGAGTGTAACACCGGATGGCGTGAATATCGACAAAAGTAGTGTAGCCGGAGAGTCGGTGTGGCAGTCAGTGTGTGTGTGTGTGTTGTTGGTGGTGCGCCTCACGTTGCTCTACGATTCGGGCTAGGTCCTCTTATCTACCCCAACTAATTAGTGTGTCATATTCCGACTCCCCTTTGGTTTATATGTCTTCTTTCAGTATTGGGGTGTTTTAACGTGTAAAGCTGCACAGGATAGTAATAATTGTGACAGACAAACGACTTGATCGTACAGACACTAGAGCCTACAGACAGGTTGCTAGCTGGGACGGCCAGTTGACGCCCGCGTCAGTGTGTGGACGGACGTAAGCTGTACCCGTCCCTCGCTCACACTTCCGTTACTTTGTGCCCAGTATGTCTACTCTCACCCTTCTCACAAGTTAATATCCGCGGACCCAACTTTTCCCGGAGCTCTAATTTTCTCATAAAGGTGACAGGCATCGATGGTAAACCCTTTGGTGTTTTTATTTTCTAGTGTGACTACCAATTGAGACCAGTAGATGGAGTGACTGGCATTTCGTTAGAAAATTGGAATTGCAGAAATCGTGTGACTGGGCACGGCACACGGACTCCCACCTGACCTAACACAATTATGATCACAGGGAGGCTTACACTAACGTGTGTTTGTGTGTGTGTGTGTGTGTTTTTGTGAAGCTTGCTTATTGTTTACGTCTGTGTCTGTAAATCCGTTTTCTGGTTTAGGACTTTGTGTGCGTGTGGAGTTTGTGTATTTGTGTTTCAGTATGTGGGTAAGAAGGAGCTTAAATTATATAGACGAAAAGATACAAATATTCATCTCGTTTGTACGAAATCAAATCATTTTGAATGTATGACGCATCAGGTTGACCCAGGTCACGGTGGAAGGAGGGCGTGCTGTCGAGCAGGTGTCTGTAGAGTTTCTGTTGGATACAGTAGAGTGGTTTGGTTCATGATTACTATGAATGACGCCCCACAAGTATCATAGTTTGATCATTGTAGGCACGAGTAGCACATACTTCCACAGGAAAGTGGTATGGTTGGGTTGGGTTTATCTTTGTTATACCTCGCAGTGTTGACACTACAATGGCGCTTCGTTGAACAAATTTCGAAGTCATGTTGAATTGTGCCGTTGGAAATATGCCACTTGCAGATTGGGGATAATTTGATTAAAACTTCAGTGTCATAATACCCAGTGGTATAAACCAACATAATTTGGAATGGCAGGAACCTATTCCCTATGTGGTGCCTACAGGAGAGCTCAGGTTCTCAACTGGCTCAGCCATGTTAATATTGTTATTATTATCCACTCTGTATCTGTGTTTTTCTGGCTAAATAAACCATTTCAATTTAATTCTATTTCAAATTCAATTCAAATCCGAGTGCTTGCACCTTGGCACTTGCATTTGGGTCGCGTGCGAAGTAACAAAAATCACATTTGAGAATATCACTATGTGATACAGATAAAATTATTTCGATGCTACCAATCTCGTAAGAATACAGAAGTCACAGAAAACGAAGGAAGGTTTTATGAGTGCGTTTTCCATTCTGTAATCCATGATGATAAATTGCCTGTTTTATGAGGTGTGTGTGAGGAATATTGCGCACCCCAGGAAGACTGGAGAATCCGTAAGGTGGGTTTTGTGAGGTGTTGATGCATTGTAGTATTTTACCAGCTGACTATTGGACGTGGTCTCCACACATGTAGCCGTATCCTGGTGTTAACTGTGTAATTGTACGTGATTCATCGTGACCGCCCTCGGTTATATGCTCGCCACGTGTCCAATATGGCTGCCTTATCATTGGCCATATTGACAGCTGGTGATTAAATATAATTTTCTGCGTTAGAATTTGTAACAAATTCACGCGAATAAGATATATTCGTGGATTTCTACCGACGTTCGAGATGACAATTAATCCACGTGACGCAATTTGACCCAACCCACAATTCCCCGGAGGAAATCATATACTGTTAGCTGGGTGGGCAAAAAGTGCAATCACTTTAAGATAAAGTCTCCCATCATTGAAGCAAGGCAACATACATGCACTAGGCATCACTAAGTTGAAGGAATTCTACATACCAGGGTCTAAATGGCGACGTTGGAAACCATTGTGATTAACCGGTTATAATGATTTAACATTGTTTTTAATTATTGATTAATTGCTTGTGTGTTGATTCTGTCCGAGGCAATGGATGAACCTTATAATGTATTTTCTTAACTATTACGTCTGGATGATTAACTGACTGTTGCTGTTTCGTTACAGGATAAGTAACTCGGTGCTACTGTAGCGTACGGTCTCCAAAGATATCTTTGGTCTAACCTAACCTTATCTAACCTGACCTAACCAGACCTAATCTAACTTACCTAACCTAAAGATCTTGTAGTAGGCACCCTATAGTAGCACGGGTTTTAGACCTGTTCACATCGTCAATTTTTTATCACGGTAAAGTTAAGATACCTGTTATGATTTTTAAGATAAAGAGCAAACAGTAGAGGATGGAGCAATATATTTTGTTATCTAGACGTTATATACACAAGTGAGCTCTTGTAACTACCAGTACTGTACACCCCTAGCGGCGATGGACACGTTAACTTGAAAATAATAAAGATGATAATCATTACATTTTTAGATGGTGTATACTAATGAATGGTTATAACTTATGAATAACTGAATACAATCTCTAGATAATGAATGATATTTCTAGTTTGATTTTTACTGGTTAAAACTAGGATAGAAACTAAACTTTTGCGTTACCCAACTTCAAGTGTAGGCTGAGTAATCCACAATGAATGTTTAGGGCATGTACTGGTGAGCCCCAGTTCCTCTATTTTGTCTCCATTTCATACATTTTGGTTCTCTCGGTGGTTGTTATCAAAGGAGACTGAAACTTGGTATTGTTAGTTCCATCCCCTTTAAGGGTGATATGAAGCAGGTGTCCCAAGATGGTGTCATAAGAAGCATCCTTGACACTCGGGGCCAACTCATAAGATTTGATTAATTTAATGACTTAATACTTAATACCTTTTTATCCCTTTGGTATTGCATATACAGTAGTGTTTCAACTCCCAATATGATTTTTAAGTTCATGGTGGACAGATTATCTTAAAAGGAGTTTCAGACATATAGTACATCACTTTAATAAAACTCATTTGTACATGTTGAAAAATGGTTTTCAACGTGGATAAGGTCTCTCTTGCATATGGATAATATGGAACATGTCATTGTTGTGTGCATGTACGGTATAGTATTTAAAACATACAGATGTACAGTATCATGTCTGACTTCAATTCTTACTCGGTAAATGCTGTACATCAAGCCACGGTACATGTATGTGATATAAATACTGTTTTTGTATTGTTTGCACTTCCCAATATGTGTGTACCAGGTTCATGTCAAGTTGTTATAAGTAATACTGTACTAGGTTATTATAAAGTTTGGCCAATATGAAATTACTGAGCAATATACAAATAGAATGGGCATTTTGTTCCGGATATTTTTTCTTGTACTACTGTATAATTTTGCAATGTTTAGTGGATTCTATCCTCCCAAAGATACTTGTGCATTTAATGTAATTAGGAAGGTAATATTGCCAAGACTTACAGAATACCTAATAGGTCATTAAAGTTGATTTTGCTGAACTGTACTGTAATGTGTTTCTGAAAAATATCACCTCAAACAATTGCCATTGAAAATTTTGCAAAATTTAAGCATACTTGCTAGTGGTAAACAGGATGATACATGTACATTATACTGTGTGAGCCTTGCATATATTATTGCTGTGTTGCTATGTTTGATACTTAACGTAACCAACTGTTTTTTACGTATTTATATGATGTCTTAAAAATGAGTCCCAAAGGCCTTTTTGGCCAATTAGGGATCTTGACTGCCTTCACTTCCCATGCTGTAAAGGTCAGCACTGTACCAGATAGCCATTTATAGTTGGGTGTAACTTGGACAGGAGATGAACTTTGTATTATTCTTTGTCAAATCCTTCTTGTTTCATAATGCTAGGTCTTAGTTAGGTACAGTATGTAATGTGTAACTAGTTTACGTAAAAAAAAAGCAAATAATTTCCTGTACAGTACCTTCACCAAATTTGTTTGTGCAGTACAGTAATGGTGTATGATATACAGTACAGTACTCAACCAGACTCTTGGATCCAGTGGTACAGTATTAATAATCAATTCTCAGGAGAAAACCATGAATTACTATACAGTACAGTAATGTATTATTTCTATTTCTATTGTACTGTATATACTACAGTATATTTATAATTTTTATTTTCATGAGAACAAAAGTTACTTGTCCATTATTTATTTGATATTGTCTTATCAAGTGACTGAATTAAGACATACATTACTGTATAATTTCATCATTATCATCAGCTTTTTATTGTCATTGCCATGTATGTGATGGCAATGTTGGATAAAATCAGAATGGATGTCCCGCCACCCCTTGCTCACCACTGCTAACCCAGGACACCAGCCCAGAAAATGCACCCGAGACCAGGAGGTATACAGAAGCAAAGTGTTCTGGCTGAATGATCTTCCTAAGACCAATCCACAGAGGGTTGGAGCAGCTGGCTAAGCACGTTCGCAACTCCCTGAGGTATATAATGAAGAGTATCTGCCTACCCAACAGGAAAACATCTGTGGGGCAGAGGTGTAGATCAGACTTATGGGATAATGATATTATAACTGCCTACATTGAACAACTCGGCTCCGGATAATCAACTTTTGTAGCTCCTAAAGAATTCCGACATGTTCAACCCCTGAGCTTAAAGGAACACATAATAGATGCTAAAAGAGGATACTACATGAAAAATTGATAACTTCCAAGGCAGAATACCCAGTGTAGATATTCTCTTATTAGTTTTGGAGGGCCAGACTTCTTCTGACACAGTTACCTAATACTGTACACGTAATAGATAAGCTAATCAATGTACTATACTGGCAAATATCTGGCCACAGAACTTCAGCTTTCTCCTTTTTCAGGGAACCTTCATATCAAGTGGATTCTTTTAAAAAGGGATGAGGATGAAGGATGGATAACTTAACAAATTTCTTCAATTTCTAGATCCCAATCATACAGGTTGGGACCCTGCAGCATGGAGATTCAACCCTCGAGACCTGCTGGTTTTATGGAATTATTTAATCTAAACATATGGTTATACTGGAGCAGAAAGACGAAACTTAAGTTATCCTGCTTACAGTGACTATCTAAATATGTGACATTATTGTCATCAATTTATATTTTCACCTTGCTCACAAAGCCATGCAAAATTGCCAAATAAATTTTTTCTAATAGAATTTCCTCAGTAAAGCAGATACTTTATCTTTCAAATTTCAGACCACAGTTTTTTCTTTGTGTCAAAAGTTTGAATAATTAATTTAGCACTCACCTGGTAAATGTATTAGGGGTCTTTATTTCCTGCTTCCCTTAGCAAACAGAAATACATGTTTGTTCAGCTGAGCCTGTCAGTTTTTCAAGGATTTAAGGAATAGGACTAAATAAATGAGGAGGAAAATAAAGAGGATCTACAGTATTCATGAACTGCTGGCCCAAATTCATATACAGTATAGTCTGCATTTACGCGGTCAATTGAACCTGTGGAGTACCACGTAAAACGAGAAACGCATAGATGAAATAACACAACATATGGGATTAATTGAAATAGAGACTGGGCCGACCCCCAAGCTCCACTTTTTCCGGCACAATACGTACCTTGTAGTAAAAAAAACATGTTAATTTTATGATGGTATGCACACACAATTAATAATTAAGAGAAATATCAATAATATTAGGTTTTTTAACACTTACGTTAGTAGAAAAGCTGGGTCGGCACACGCGGATGGCGGTTGGTTCCGAGGCAGAGGGCAGATTAGTTGCCCTCCCGTGAATCACTTTCACTACTGCAGAGGTTTGCAGGGCCTCCCAGACAACCTCTCAAAGTCCATATCTTCACTGTCAATCTCACTATCACTGACTTGACTGGCTGTGGTTGTGGTGGGTTGCAGGCGAGGAAGTCCTCAACTACATTGATGACTAGCATTGATGTTGTCGAGATAGATCTGATATATGGCTCCATAACTCTCGCAGATGGTTATTAGACACTTCATACCGATGCTTGTCTGGGTCGCTGTCAGATGAGCTGTTTCTCCCCAACACGATGATTTCCTTCACATTATCATGGCTTGGTCCAGGTAATTCAATGTTTTCTCTGGTGTTGGGGTCCCGGAAGCCATTGTGAGTTGTGAGGGAATAGCAGGCACAAGAGAGAACTGTATACGCCGACTGAGAACAATGAGACAGGCCCTGCTAGGTCAGCTACTTCTACCCTGGTGGCAGGGCACGCCATGTTACATTAGACCAATCACAGCTAGCAGCCGAGGGAATCGCGGGTGGGCGGATGCATGGCCCAATCACAGTCCGAACGTCATATGACATCAGCGATAACGTAACAGCGGCCTAATGTGCACCATTCACCGCTCCGCTCCGCCAGATGGTCAAGAATGGACCTCGGTGGGTAAAATGGGGTGGCAGTCTGGACCTCTCCAGCTGCTCGCTGCATAAATGACCAAATTTACTGCGTAATTAAAGCATTTTCTTTCTGGCAAGGCACTGCGTAAATGACCTAACGCCAGAACAAAAGCCGCATAAATGCAGACTAAACTGTATGTTTGGCATATTGTACCTGTAGGATACTGCAGCTGGGTTGATGTAGCACTTGCTTCCTGACCCAGCAATCACTGGTTCAAATCCCATGGTTGACCAAGTGAGTGGGGTGTCCAGCTGCACAATGCTGTAGATACCTAATTTTGCAGTTGGGATTTGAGAGTTCAGGATGCAGTGGTGACCACAATGTCTTCATGTGTACTGAAGGCTTGGTGTTCTCTCTGGTGTATCCAAACTGTCAAACTGACTGTCAGGTCAATGGAACAACTGTCTTTCAGTATCTAAAGATACTTCTATGCTGTGATTTATCAGTGTGGATGGATATTGTCAGACCTCGATTGAGCCAGAGGATGTCTGTCATCAAGCATATCTTAGATGAAAGGGGAATGACCTTCATTTCATTAACCTTCAAATTTGCTTGAAGGAAATGTTGCTTCCTCAAACACAAAGGGGAGCATTGTGTGAGGAGCATTATTGTACAGGGGGTTCCCGGGTTACAAACGGGTTCCGTGCTTGAGGACGTTCAGAAGTCAGATTTGTATGTAAGACGGAACACATGCTTTATGCATACCGTATTTACAGAACAATGTTTAAAATCTCACTGCAGTATATCATAGCCTAAGTCCTTATATACATCTAAAATCTCTTAATTTAAGATAAAAGAAGAAATAGAATGATAAAATACAGCAAATAAAAGTAAAAAATAGGTCATCAGGTAAATAAAATACCATGTACAGTACAGAGTGCTGTAAATTTCAAGTTTAACCCCATTCGTATTGGCAGACGTTCATAAGTCGGGGACCTCCTGCACATTGTTTATGTAAAACAAGCAGGCTGATGCTTGTACTGTACCGTACTAATACAGAAGGATATACACTGTAAGTCTTGTCCCTATCTTTGAAATTTCCAGAAAAGTTTTGCACTTGACTTAACCTGTGGCTGATTGCCTTTGAAATTGAAGATAACAGCATTTAATGGTAGCTTCAGGTACTAACTAAGCACCACAGCCCTAAAGTTGGCCCCCTGACTCATGAGGGCAACTGATGCATATAATTTCCATTTTTAAGGAAGATGATTGTGATTGAGAGGGATGAGGGATCTTCCGATCAACTACCAGCTGCAGATCTGAGTTAAGAAATAATGGATTTAACTCCTGATCTGGTACTGTATATGCTGTAGCAAGAGCTTTTTGGTTTTAGAATCAACTAGTAAACAGGATTTCAGTATCAGTCTGCTATTTCTCAAACCCACATCCCCCCAAAAAATTATTCCCTAAATGAATTGTGTTTTTGTGAGATTGATGCTGAGGGAGGTTTTACTGTACTGTACTGTTACATCTTACTTCTTCAGCTGTTTGTTGGTTATCTTCCCAGATAAGTTCTTTTCACAAGTCTTGATCGAGTTGGTGATTCCATCTGATTATCATTCTTAGTCCTAGACTCTTGTGAAAATATTCTTCTATTTCTTGTGGTGGAGATATTTTACTTGAATATAATAAACATGGTTACATTAATTTCATTGAATCAAATAAGAAAACATTGGTTATCATGTGATATTTATGAGATAACTCTGTAGAAGGAGAGAAGGGATGTAACTTAGTGTTCTAACAGTTCTGTATAATTTTTCGTGGTACAAGAAGTTTTGCTTCAAAGATAAAACAGTACCCCAATAATTGAATTGCTAAAGGTAGAATTCTTGCTTTTTAAGGTTGTTCGGTGAGATATGCCTTGATTTTTTTCCAGATGTCCCATTCAGGTCCCTGTTGGATTCTTTGCATCTTTTTGTGTCTAAAGTTTGGGGCAGTGGGTGGGATATGTGGTTTATCCTCTTGCCTTGGACTGTATCTGCACATCCATCTGTCAAAGCTCTTGTTACTTCCATCTGTCAAAGCTCTTGTTACTTCCATCTGTCAAAGCTCTTGTTTACATCCATCTGTCAAAGCTCTTGTTTACATCCATCTGTCAAAGCTCTTGTTTACATCCATCTGTCAAAGCTCTTGTTTACATCCATCTGTCAAAGCTCTTGTTTACATCCATCTGTCAAAGCTCTTGTTTACATCCATCTGTCAAAGCTCTTGTTTACATCCATCTGTCAAAGCTCTTGTTTTCCTCCATTTGTCAAAAAACTTGTTTGCATTCATCATGTATCATAGCTTCTGTTTACCTTTATGCAAGGTTTATTTTTTTATTCCCAAAACAGAAAGGCTTGGAGTGGTTTCCATCCAATTTGTTGATGGTTTTCTGTTAATTACTTTGGTTTCCCAAGTTGAGTTTACAGCTAATGTTTTAGTTATGTACTGTATTTATTTTATTTTTGCAGGTAGGAGACAAGTAGATTTTAGAGAAATAATAAATTTGACCTCTCCCTGTGTAGTCCTCCCCCTTCTTTTCTTCCTCCCATTTTCACTCCAACAGTGTTTACTCAGTGGTTGAGACCACATATTGGCTGTTTTCATTATTTTGTATTTGTATTATTGAATTTACATTCCCTCATCCTTTTTGCATGGTCTTTGTTAATAATGCAAGAAAGTGACAATTGCTCAAACCAACTTGTAAGGTTGTGGCAAATGCTTCAAACACTGCTTTGAGTCTTCAGCTGAGTGTTAGGGAAGGTTTGGAGTTAGCATGGGCATGAAGGATTTTGTTTTGGGATTTTTGCATGTCTTATATTCATTTATTTTCAGTAAAGTCAGTATTATTCCCCTTATTTTATTTCACTTTAGATTTTAATTTCACAAGGCAGTATTGGTCTGTCAGTTAAAGTATGTTGATATATTGAGTTCTAGAATGTTTTGATTGTTTTCCTCTTTCAACACTATGCAAGAATAATTTTTATTTATTTAAAAAGAGTACCCAACAAACAGTATTGCAGGTGACACACAATAGTCATTATAGGTTATTTCATTCATGTCTTTCAGATTTTGGATGAATTCAGCCTGGAGCAACAGATAATGGAGTTTAATGAAACAAATCAACTCCTTGATTTATTAAAGTTAAACACGGAGAAAACAAGTGAAGAGGGGAAGTTACATACAATGGCCAGTAATGCCCCTGGCTTGGTGTTGGATGATGATCATTTAGAATCAACTGAAACTCTTCTTAATGATCTTATCCATAGTGTGTGTGGTGTAGAGACTCACTCTTCTAAAGTCATACCTCCTAAAACAGAGGGTAATAATACAATTAATGATGCAAAATGTGATATAGTAAAGGCAACAACCTCCACAACAGGTAGCAATGAGTCACCGAGACTCCACTTCCAGTTAAGTGATAATATGAAGAAAGGGCTGTCTATGCTGGCCTTTCCCTCTAAAAAGACCACTACTCGAAAGAAGGCCACAGCATCCCGCACCACCTCAAATTCTAGAATTACAATAGGTGAAGCCTTAGAGAAAGCACAGGATGCAAGGAAAAGTATATCCAGTGTTATAAAAGGAGTGGGGCAACCAGAGAATATTGAGGGAGCCATATCTTCAGATCCTGCAGTCCAACATCTTCCCTTGGGCAGTTCTGTGGTAATTGGGTCAGTACCACCAGGGAAGACGAGGATGGATACAGGGGTGGAGATGGGGCTTTCAGGGAAGACTGGTGTGACCATGAGGGTCACTGTTGGGGAAAAAGAGAACTGGAGAAACACTACCACAGAACCAGCTCACAGTGTCCCAGCTTCTCCAATTGAAGGTCCTCATAATGACCAGCAAGTTAGCATGTCTACCTCAAGCACTGAAGGTAGGAACAGTGAAATATATACAGTACTACTGAATATTTTTTTTTCTATTTTGAGAACCTTATAATATATTGATATTAGAAACATATTATTTGCAAATATAATATTTTAGAGAGACTAGGCATTTGCACACATTTTAGAAGAGGGGAAGGTCCTTTAAGGGGATATTGAAAGTTGGAGATGAAAGCAAAGTTAGTGGAGGTGAAATCTATGAGAAAGGGGACATGTTAAGGATCACTTGTAAGTACAATGTTATTTTCATGTCTCAATAAAATTGACACTTCCTGCAGGTCTATGCAGATGTTTGTCTCATATAATCTCAGGAATATAGAGCACATTAGTGAATTTTGTAGATGCTAACATTAGTTATTAATTTGTTGCTTTGGCTAGAAAAAATTACAGGTATTAGCTCTCTGAAATAGGAAAATTCTTACACTACAGGGCTGAGCTTCCTTGTTTAATAATGCTGGTTGTTAGCTTTCTTTCTACAGTACTGTATAGTATATCCAAAGGTTTTCCAGGTTTCACTTAGTCTTTATGAGGTTGTTCAAGTCAGTACAAGCACAGGTCTAATAATTTCAAACTGTTTACTTTATTTTTGTTTCGACTTCATGGGAACACCACAGAAGAACACATTTAGTTGGACAAGTGAGAGGAGAGTCTGTTACCAACACAGTACTTTGATTCTCACAACTCTGTGCCATAGAGGGAAAGGGCTTACAAGAGTGGAAGAGACTGGTACACCATATTTTAGGTCTTGAGTTATATTAATGGTACTGTAGTTTGTTTCATTGGGATCACAATTCTCAGTAATACATTCCTACTCTTTTCACAACTTATAATATTTGGCAGCATTTTAATATGTAGGGATTACAACATCAAACTAATAAAAAACACTTGAATTCATAAGTTAGTGCAAATAATTTGGTGGAAGACATTTACTTCTGAAGTCTTTAAAGATGAAGGTTTTTGTAGTGTGGTTGAAGTTTAAAGAAAAACAAAAGTCATTTCCGCTTGGAACTGTCACATCTTTGTGTATCTTAGCAAGTATTAGTCACTTAGTGCTTCAGCAGAAAAAATGTTCTCCTTCCATGAGTGAGGAAGAAACGATTATTTACAGGTCACATAAGTTAATGTCCTTGCTATAGATTACATGGAACGATTACCAATGTTAAAGCTAATCATTCCTCCTTATGTAATGAAGAAAGAACAAGGGTGGAGTGGAATACAGTAGCTACATAGGATTTCCTTGTATTATAGAAAGCTGCAGTGTCATATTTTATAAGAGGTCTCCTTGATGTGTTGAGGGCTGTCATATGGTAGAGGCCAATGGTATAGTTTTATACACGAGGTATAGGAAGAATAGGAGGTTTACCAACATGCTTCCTATGTGTATATATATATATATATATATATATATATATATATATATATATATATATATATATATATATATATATATATATATATATATATATATAAAAAAAAAAAAAAAAAAATATATATATATATATATATATAAAAGATTGACCCACGGGTATTCGATAAAATTAAGTAGCACCGAAGATTAACCCCGCCAGCTCGTTTCACCTGAGGATTAAGCGAACACTACTTGAAGGGCCGTTAGGCTAGTGTTAGGTTAACCTTATGGTGTTTAATCATTAGGTGAAATGAGCTGGGGGTCTAATCTTCAGATGATCCAAATAAGAATCAGAAGGTTTTGGAGGTGAGAATGAGTCAAGAGATAAGAACCACAGACTAGGCAGATAAATATAGAGTAATGTCGTCATATAATTTTACACTTGACTCGACATGTATACAACAATACAGGTATACTGTACTGTATACGTAGACTGAGCAGGTATACGATTTCCAATGTAGGTACTCAGACAGTGTGAGTGTACAAACAAATGGTAAACAGTAAAACAATTCGACCAGGGATAGTCAACAATACCATCAAATGTCTTGGAAATTTTCTTGACACACTCAACACACTATTATATGCCTGATGAAGAGGTCACCTGTTTCATTATTAAGTACTGTAGTACACCAGTCTTTGTTTATTTTTCTGTATCTTTGCTAGGAAGCGGGAATAAGATATAACACTGAGGAACATGAAGTAACTCTGGTTAGTGAACATGAAGTAACACTGGTTAGTGAACATGAAGTAATACTGGTTAGTGAACATGAAGTAACACTAAGGAACATGAAATAACACTGGTTAGTGAACATGAAGTAACACTGGTTAGTGAACATGAAGTAACTCTGGTTAGTGAACATGAAGTAACTCTGGTTAGTGAACATGAAGTAACACTGGTTAGTGAACATGAAGTAACACTTGTTAGGGAACATGAAGTAACACTGGTTAGTGAACATTAAGTAACACTGGTTAGGGAACATGAAGTAACACTGAGGAACATGAAGTGACACTGAGGAACATGAAGTGATACTGAAGAACATGAAGTAACTCTGAGGAATGAAGTAACTCTGAGGAATGTGAAGTAACACTGGGGAACATGAAGTAACACTGGTTAGGGAACATGAAGTAACACCTGGGAATATGAAGTAACACTGAGGAACATGAAGTGACACTGAGGAACATGCAGTAGCACTGAGGAACATGCAGTAACACTGGGGAACATGAAGTAACTAAGGAGCATGAAGTGACTAAGGAACATTAAGTAACACTGAAAACATGAAGTGGGCATAACATGTATAGGGAAACATTGAAGGATGATGGAACTTATTGAAATTTGAAGGGGATATTTTTAAGGGAAGTTTTGGAAGAAGAGATTGGGAAATGAGGTAACACTAGAAATTGATTGGATATTGCTAAGGTCACTATGGAAAATGGGGAGGGGAAGGAGGGACTAGCTACAGTGTGTACAGGTATTTAAAAAACCCAGGATTTTGCAGCTTAAGGGAACTTGTGTGAGCTTGAGGATTTGTGATGTGACATGGAAGAGTACTAGATATGGAATACTATGATGGGAATCCCTTAGTATAGGAAATTTGTCATAAGAGAACAAAAGAGGCACACTTTTTCTAATAGATGACATTATTAACACAAGAAAGAGGCATTAACCCTTCTTGAAATAGCAACAGTAAATATTAGACGCTGCCTTTAGCGTGTAAAATACATTATACAGTACAATTGCAAAGGAAATACATCGTAGTAATTTAGCTTGGTACTGGTAGAATTTTGATTAAATGTTGTTGGGGAAAAAAAACTAGTAGTATTGACCTCAGTGCTAAACCATTACAGTACTAATTTTTTTTTATCACTGGAAGATTAGGCACTCCAGCTTATGGTAATTCACCTGAAGATAATCACCCGAATGCTGTTGGGGTTAGGTTTAGGTGGTTAGTCTTTAGGTGAAATAATCTGGGGTATCTCATCAGTTAGTGAGTTTAGCATTTTATTCATGCATAATGCATGATAATAGGGCTTCTGGGTCTAGTTAGGTTACATGCACTGCCAATACAGTTTTGCAGTAGATGTACAAAATATAGAACTACCAATAGTAAAAAAAATAATCTTCTTTAAAGCCTTTGTTAGAGTAATACAGTAAGTTTAAGGGATATATGGACCAGGAAGGATAGGATTTCATATTTTATTTTTAGTTTTGTTTTACTGGCTGGGTAAGCATTACTGAAGATGGTTTAATTGTATTGGGCATTAAGATATTTCTGTGGTGTGGGAACTGTTCATGGTTCTTAGAATTTGGAAATGCACTTGTAAAGTAACGTGATACTTCAGATACTTGATGGAGGTAACGATGATTCCTTGGGTAACAGCTACTTTTCCACTATAAAAGGTGTAATTTGACTTGTTTTACAGACACCGCTTTTAATTTGTCACAAATTCTGTAGGTAAGAGAGTGCCACTGGCAGGCAAGGCTAAATCCTCTGCAACAACCAGAATTAAGCTGTCAGCCAGGATGTGGGAGCTCCTAAGATTTACCTTCATACATGAACACTTTCCAACATCTGTCCACATGGCACGGCTGGCCAAAATGATGGGAGTGCAATGGGTGAGTGATATTCTTATTAACTAAACAAACATTGGTAGTGGCTAGGTTTATAATTGTTATTATTTTTTTCATTTATTACTCCTACATACAGTAGAAAATAAGTACTCTACTAAATCTGTTATTATTTTTTAAAAAGAAAAGTACATATGCTGAACATGCCGGCTTTTCCTGTTCTCACAGAGTGGCTGTATACATATATTAAAACAGAAATTATAAGGCACTTCTAATGAAAATTTGATTGAAAACATAGAGGATGGGGAAACAGCAACTGGTGAACCACACGCGTCAGTCCATCGAACCACGGCTGACCAGTGGGCTGGTGGCTTTACAACACGTTTTTGGATTTTTCTAAATATACTTTACATCTTGGTCTGCCTAATATTTGTCCCATCATCCCTTGAAGGCTGTTGCAATAGGAGATAATCTTGCTCTTAAGTAAGCAATTACATACATGGGCAATATATGATCTGAAATTGTTTTTTTTGGTTTGTTTGTGTGCACATATTTTGAAGAGCTTAAAATTGTGACTTCTAATATTATTATTAAGTGGTCTCAGTATTGGTCATGTTTCTTTGTGATACAATCTTTGCATTCTCTTACAATTATACCTCTATTTATTCTTATGATCTTCATGCAGGTAACTCAACATTTTCAGGTATCATTTTCATTGAGCTTCACAGAACACTTCCAGTGTTAGTCAATTTCCATCTTGTGGCATGTAACGCTGTACTGTATAAGCATTATTTACTTTAAACGTGGATGAACTGCTGTATGAATTTTTTTTTGCATTCGAGTCAGTGAATGTATGTTTGGTCAAACCTACACCTGATTTCTCTTAGTTATCAGTACTTAATGGGTTGTATGATTTTAAGATAATGATTTGCTATTCATTGCTACCACTGTTATTTTTACCAATTGTTGAATTTCCTCAAACTAGTTTTGTAGATGTTTGGAGAGGATATCAAACCTTTATCATGGAGTTAGATTTCCAAGGAGAATTGGCTCAAAAGTTGCAAAGCTATAACTGAGATGGTTCAAAGATATTGATTTTTCCATTTCTCTCTGAGACTTCTGGATCTGGATTACTAATGTACTCCATTTGTAAAGGATAAATTCATAACAAGGTAATGAGGATGATGACCACAACATGATACTGTATGGTGGGATTTACTCTCAATTCTCTTAGATGTGGATTTTTGGTGAAAGTATGTTTACATTAAGGAGTAAAAGTGAAGATATCTTGACAAAAGGGAGAATATCCTGTTTACATTTATGGATATAGCAAAAGGAAATGATAAAGAGTTCATAGAAAAGCAAATATGTAAGATTGTCTGAAATTTTAAATATGGGTTGTCAACATTTATGACAGCTTCAAAAAGACTGGATTTGTACAATTATGGTTTACATATTCCTCCCAAATTTCGTTTCTACTGTATGAGGGTGTGCATTGCACTTTACATCCTCCCTGCATCACTGGACCATGTGTGAAGACTTCTTGTGTTACAGTACTTGTGGATTTGATTTCCTCTTTTTTCCATTACTGCTCTCCCAAAGTATCCTTCAAGTATAAAACCTGTGTGAAGAAGCCAAAGATGTTAACACAAGAAGCTTATTGACAAGTCTTGAAATTGGTATAACTGCTGCAATGCTTGGCAAGGAATATCAAGTGAATTAGCCAAGCATAATGGAATTATGTTTATACTCCAGGATGAGCCAGGACCTGAAGCATGAAAGCTGGCCACACTGTCATCACCTGTCTTACTTGTACTTTATTTTATTTTACTGTATACTGTATGTCATATCTATTTACTTGTACTTTATTTTATTTTACTGTATACTGTATGTCATATCTTTATATCATGTACTATAATGAATGTAGAATATTGTTGTCTTGTCATTCACAGTAATTGTAACTTAAGGATAACTTTTCCCCAGTTGTGTAATGTATTTCATCATTATAATTGTGATTGGAAATGTATTTCAATCGTGCAGGAGATTATTTTGCCTGCTTTAGTGTTTTTTCTAACATTAATATATTTTTAAAAAGATTTTATGATGAAATTATAAAAAAAAAAAAAACTCTTGAAACACTGCTAACTGGGAGATCATCACAACAGTTTAAACAGATATAGAAACTGATGTTATGAGATTTTTTATCTTAGCCCAAGTAAATCCAGTAATGATGGGAAATTACCCATCTAGCAATTTTTATTTTATAACAGACAGTATTTTCACAATTAAGAACTACTGTACAGTACTGTATTACTGTAAGGTGTTGATGTATGTTGATGCCATACAGTACTGTAGTAGTGTTCTTCTAAATTGCGCTATTTATTCATATTGCGCTCCAACATGTCAATAAAGTGTTATTAACCCCTTGACTACTGCATGTCACTTTTACTATTCTATTTTTCATTGAAGCCTTACTATTTTATTTGGCTAACTCTAAACAATTTATTTAGCACGGTGGTTGTTATTTCATAAGTATGCATAGCAACCAAGGGTATGTGTGGGTTCTATAGTAAAACCAGGTTCAAAACATTTCTTCAGCCTTTTCATCTCACTAGAATCTTTAAGTTTCCTTTCCAGAGTGTCTGAACCCTGTGAAGTGAAGTTTGACCCCTGTGACCACTGAAGTGATTATATATACGGCTCCTCCCCGACTTATGACCTACTCGACTTACGACCTGCCTCGGTCGTACCAAAATTGTGTCAAATTACGTATTTTCGAATCCCAACTTCAGTACACAGACAAAATTTTCGTTTGTAATTCACTTTAAAATGGCTGGCAAGCTTAAAAGTGAGAGTTTTGTGGTGCTGAGAAGAAAAAGAGACACCCATTTTAGATTTTCTATGTATTATTTAAGCATTTTCGACTTACGACCTGGGTTTGGGTCCCTAACCCCGTTGTAAGTCAGGGAGGAGCTGTACTGTATATATGGCAAGACCTGCCATATCAATTTATTTAAAATGGGTATATACAGTACAGGTACATCCAAATGAAAGTATGATCAAGTATAATCCGAGTTACTTTCGAGTATTGTATGACCAGCAATATAACTTATCACTGTTATCACCAATTAATTATGTACCACATAATAGGTCATGCCCAATGCTAGCTGTCATGATGGTGACTTGTTCAGAACATTAGCAGTATAATTTCAATAGCTAAATAAATACTGCCCTCAATGATGGCATTTATTCTATATTACACGTAAATAACCACTCAACTTCACAAGTGGAGGCTGGAAGTGTTGAGATCAGTAGGGCTTCTTGAATAGCAGGAAATAAATCACACTGCTTCGGAAGATCTGTCAAGGACAAGGTTACACCTGAATCATATGTGGTTTTCTTCTGGAAATATTGACACTCCATATTTTAAACCAGGACTGTGACTTCTCAGCAAAACGATCGATGTTGTAGATATCATTTAATTGTGCTATTTTTCCTGCATTCAGCAACCACTGGATCTTTTCTCACATTTCCACCACAACTTGGTTTTTCTAGTGACATGTTTGGTATACATGAACTCGTTGTAGCAGATATTTGAAGAGAGAATTTAACTGTCAGTCATTTCCATGCCAGTAGACGTCAATAAAAAATAAAAATAAAATTCCCCAATGGTATCGAGCTCAGAACTCTCCACTATCTTTGTTTTGCTCTTATTTTCATTTATGGATAATTATATTAATGAACATTGTATAGTGTTTATGTTTTTGCGTAATTATGTGTCGTATTGTACAAAACAACTTGTGCAGTTAACAAAATATCGTATTAGTTACTCAAAAATTAAAAAAAAACACATTTCAATACGTTACATTACAATATGCAAAGTATTTCTGAAAATTGCTAATTTCACTAACTGTAAAATAATACATAGTCGGCTTTAATGACAAATGGTCGCAGTTTCATCATGACCTAACACCAGGTACTGTATACACGGTTCCCCTGTGATGATCGATATCATGATGGTTTTACCTGAGTCGGGCAGCCAGGCCCAGGCACCTATTGTCGCTCTTGCCCATGACATCGTAATTCTCACACACACAGAGGAATTGTCAAAAGTATCAGCTTGCTACAAGTGGCTGTTGTGGGAACAATATTTTGCAGTTATTCCTATTTATTTGGACATGAATTTACTTTTAACAGCAAAAATACAGATTTATTTTAAGTGTAAACTATTAATCTTGCTGACACTAGAATGTTGTGGGTCAAACATTCTGTTCCCCTGGTTGAGCTTATGTCTTATACATGTAGTACTGTATATAAATTCTCATTAATTTGTTGGATTTATTTTCAGTCACAAGTCAGAAACTGGTTCACTGATCGCCGTGTGGAAAATAAGAGAAGTGGTATATTTCCCCGAGATAAAGTTCTCTTATGCTGTCCGTACTGTGAGGTCTCCCTGGAAAGCGAAGCAGATCAGAAGAATCATCTGTTCTCAAAACAACATGTTCGAAAGGTTCTAGGGCCAGAATTCAATGGTGGTGAGTTAGTTTGGTGTTTTTTGTCTCTTTAGGGTTTATAACAGAATTTTCTGCCAACAAGTGTATACTAATGTACTGTATTTAGGAAATTGAGAATAAGGAGAAAATACAAATAAGCATAGATTGTAAATGTGCAGTTTAGAGAAATGTTAAATTTCCTCATTATGGGTACTGTATAGTGGTATGTAGAATGTAGCAGTATCAAAATATGGTGTATCCATAGCTTGGAGGTTTATAGCTTAGGGGTTAAATCAAGTATGATATTAGACACTTACAATTCTTATTTTACTAATTTTTCCAGGAAATGCTGCAGAAGCTATCAAATGGAAGAAGCTTCCCAACGACATAAATGCTGTCAGTAAGTCGTCAGGAGCAAGAGTGCTGGCTGTTGGTTATGCCAGCACTGCAGGAAATGAAACTCTACTGGGCCCTGAAGATGGTCAGTCAGATGCACCTAAAAAATTAATGGATGCATTAGATGTTTCAAATGAAGTTAAATTAAAAAGGCTCCAAAAACGTTGGAAAGAATCGGTGTTACTTCAGAGTGAGAGGGAGCAAGATGCAAAGTGGAGTGCCTCAGGAACACCTTTGAATAAGAAACCTGTTGAGATCAAAGGTGGTAATGATAAAGGGGAAGAAAAGAAAGACGAACAAAGCGTTCTGTTTATTAAGATGGAAGATGGGGAGGAAAGATTTGTGAAAAATGTAAGTGATGATTACAGTCAGTCCAGTGCAGAAATATTAGATTCAGAAAATTTTTTGGTCAACAACAAAAGTGTTTCTGTTTCTACAACTGTGAGTAGTAACATTCCTTTAGTCGGCCTTGGTGACCCGTGTTCTAGTAAAAGTGAGAATCTTGGGTGCCAAAATGTGTGTGATTCTGTCAACATAAAATTGAATGATGTTCCTAACACCACGTTGGCTCGTAAAAGAAAATTATCACACGAAGGAGAAAATATTGATAATGGTAAATATGCTGAAAGTTCAAAATTACCAAGAGCCCTGCTAAAAGAGCCCAAAATTGAAAAAGATTCTGGTTTTGAGGAAGTTAGAAAAAATATGAGTACTGATGCTATATGCAAAGTAAGTAACCGTCAAGACCAGGAGAAAAAAATCACTGCTTCACCTGTGAGAGTGACTGAGCAGCCCACACTTAATGCAAGTTCCACTAATCCCAGAAATATAACCCCTTTGTTTAGTCAGTCTTTACTGGATGTTTCAAGACTAGGAACTAAAGTCCCAGAAAGTTCTTATAGTAATACAAACTTCCAACAGGTATACTCCAGAAAGACACACACTGTACGAGTATCATACTCTGGCTCGCCCCACGTCAGATCTCTCAGAGGTATCAAGCATTCATTAGATGAGACAGCAGTTCTTGGATATCAGTGCCCAACATGCTCAAAAATTTTTCAGACAGAGTGGCAAATGTTAAAGCATAGCCTTACTCACTGCAGGTATCTGTGTGACATATGTGAGCAAAAATTTACATCGGAAAATATGCTGAAGCGTCACATACATGCTCATCTTACTGGTGCATATGAAGATGAAAAATACTATTGTCGGTTTTCTTGTAAAACTTGTCACAGCCTTGTATGTGAATGTTATGAACCAATTTACTGCAAACCGAGGGAAATGCCTAAGGGATATACTAGGCCACAGAAAGCAAGAAGATCAAAGAAAACATTCATTAGTAAACCCAATTCTGCCCCCAATGATCATCTCATTGTTACAGTAGGAGAATACAAGAAATTCGTTAACAATCCTTCTGGTTTAGGGAATGTCAGAAGTGCAAGACAGGGGGCTCATGTACAAAAAAAATCAAGTACAGTGCCAGGAAAGTCCAGTATCCATCCTACACAGAAACTGCAGATACGAAGTAACGTTGAAGAAAGAGCTTGCAAAGAAACTGATGTAAAGCACACAAAACTTCACGTCGATGTAAAGCACACGAAACTTCACGTTGATGTAAAGCACACGAAACTTCATGTTGAGCCAAAGGAATGTGAGAGTCAGGACAATGCAAAGCAAACTACTGTATCAGTAAGCAGTCCAAAAGATACAGCTCAGACATTCATATCTAACATTGTGACTAGTATAAAAATTGAACCAGTTGCTTCTTCCATATCAGAAGATATTATTATTGAAGAGGAATTCGATGGCCCAAACAGGGGTAGGAGAACAGGTAGCCGTAGAAGATCCAGCAAATTATCAAGTAATTTTATATATAAAGATACCGATTTTTATTATATGTGTGAAATGTGTGATGCGAGTTTCTTGTCCAAGGCAGAATTGAGCGAGCACATGTTCTTCCATAGACTTAAGTCACGCAGCCGTAGGGGGGAGAAGAGAGGTACACCTGGCACGGCAGAAGAAGAAAGAGAAGAAGTTTTGAAGAGATTAAAAGTAGAAGAGCTCCAAAACAGTGAGGAAGTTGAGACTATTAATGTGGGAGGGTTTGAAAGGTTTAAATGCCCCATGTGTAAAGGACATTTTGAATCAGTACCAGATTTGAATAGGCACAGGACCCAAGCCCATAAGGGCGTTGATACAGATATATCACTTGATGAAAAGGTTCCAGTTCGATGTGCTGAAGTGTTCCAATGTACCTACTGTGAAAAATTTTATCGCCGGGAACGAGAACTGCGGAGGCATCTCAAGCATGATTGTGTCAGAGCCCCCAAATACCTAAAATCTAAACTATCTTTGGGTGTTACACTCAGTTATCTAGAAAATATGGGAGATGGACCACACTATCGAATGGTTAAGAGAAATCAAGATGAAAATCTAACAATTGATTCATCTCCTACAAAAACTCCTCCCAAAGTAGCTCAGAGAGGACCCATTACTTGTAAATATTGTAATTTAGTAACAAGGAGAGAAGCTGAAATGAAAAGGCATGTTTGGAAGTACTGTTCAAAAGTTCCAAAGGATATTGTGAAACGATTCAAAGAGGGTGCCACTTTAGCAGAGCTAGGCTTTGTATTTTGCAATGAAAAATTCGAATCGCCAGAAAAGTCCTCTCCAATTTCTGACTCATCACCAAATGAAAAGGAGAAATTCTCTTCAATACCTGTGTGTGAAATATTATCTTCATCACCTGTGTCACAGGTAACTTCAACTCCATCAGTATCTTCATCACCTGTGTCACAGGTAACTACAACTCCTTCAGTATCTTCACCTGTGTTGCAGGTAACTACAACTCCTTCAATATCTTCACCTGTGTCGCAGGTAACTACAACTCCATTAGCATCTTCATCACCTGTGTCACAGGTAACTACAACTCCTTCAGTATCTTCACCTGTGTCGCAGGTAACTACAACTCCTTCAATATCTTCACCTGTGTCGCAGGTAACTACAACTCCATCCTCTGATTCCCAAGCTACCATACCCGTGTCCAGTCCAATGCTAGCATTACCATTACCAATGGTATCATTTTCCAAATCAAAAGAGCCTTTGGTGTGTTCTTATTGTGGCATATGGTATTTCCGAGAGGTGGCTATTCTGAAGCACATGAAGGAACGATGTATCCGACTACCACTTATTGAAAGAGAGCTTTTGAAAAATGGAGGTCGGCTCTGCAATGTGCTTCACAAAGAGAATGAAGTAAACGAATCTTCTGAACTGTGTAAAGCAGTATATAAAAAGGTTGAAGTGCCTAAGAATTTGCCAGATTCTGTTCAAGATTCCTTACAACAAAACTTAGACTCTTCATCCACAGACATTATGGGGACAAGAGTGGAAGCTAAAGCGAGTGATGAAGGCAAGAAAGAGGAAGATTCTACAGCAATAAGTGAAGTACAAACACCTGTTCCCGTGACTCCGGCACCAGCTACACCAACTACAGGACGAGGCAGACCAGGACCAAACAAAAGAGGCACAAGATGTCGAAGATGTCATGAAACCTTCAAAACACCGGATGCAGTTCTTGCACATAGTAGTGTACACCATGGACCAAAGAAGGGCTTTTATAAGTGTAAATTGTGTCACCTAAGACTAGTCAAATACAAACAGTTAAGAGAACATGTATGGGAACACACAGATGAGACCCCTTATAAATGTCATGTGTGTGAGGTTAAGTATAGGTTCAGTGATTTACTTGTAGAGCATCTTCATGCCATTCATCAATATAAATTAATCAATGAAAGAAATCTCTATAAGTGGTTACCAGGGCGTAATGGGAAATATAGAGAAATAAAACCAGTAGTTAAAGATAACTGTGAAGAGAGATTGGAAGATATAGACACTAGTTTGGATAATGTTGCTGAAGTTATGGTGATTACAGATAAAGATGTTTGGACTAGTAAAAATGAAGCAGACACGTCAGTAGATAGTGAAATAGTTGTTGCTGGGAAATTGGACAAAGTTTCAAAAGAGGAAGTTGATGACCATAGTCAACCTTTAAAATCAGAAGAGAGTGCTGTTCAGAAATCACCTGAAAGAAATACCTCGGCTAATTCGGAGTTAGAGAGCGAAAAGTGTATTCCAAACAAGAGTGATGCAGAAGTAAATAAATCTACTGTAAATGCAAATCATTCTGTGGGTGAAAAGGAAAGTACTGAAGATGGAGACAAAGATGATCAAGCTGTGGGGAAAAATTTTAAAAAAGTGGAACAGGAGATTGTAAATGTGGGAGAGGTCACTGTAGAATTAAAAGAGAAATGTACAAAGGCAAGAGAATCATCTGAAAAATTAGGAGTGGTTACTGCAGAGAATGAAGATGAGAAGTCCAATATAGACTCAAAGGCTGAAGAAGAAGAAACAGATTTGGAAGCACAGAGTGAAAAGATTGAAGGAGTTACCACAGAATTAAGAAAGGAAACTCCAGCTGCAGGAAATGAGAGCATACAGACAGATTTTGCTAATCAAGAAAAGGTATCTAAATGTGTGGACAAATTGAACACAAAGAGTGGGGCAAAACCTGACACTCAAGACTCAGGGAAGTTAAGAAGTATAGTAGCTGAAGATGAGGAAGGTTTTGCAGAAAATGGAGAAGGCCTTTTGTCAAATGTAGAAAACCTTGAAAGTGTCATAGAAACCATTCAGCTTACTGATAAATATCTTGAAACTTGAACACACTATACCAAGAGTCCTAACAATACCTATGTCTTTGAAATTTTTTACTATTTTCTTTGCTGTTATTGGAAATTTAGTTTAAATCATATTGTTTCTTCACTATGCACATATGTATTATTTATGTTTTATTATTTGATCTGATATGTAGTATTAGACATAAACAGTAAAAAAACTGTTTGTTACTAAACCACCACAAATGTGCCATGTTTTGACCAAAATATATTTTGATGTCACAAATTATTCTGAACGCATTTCAGGGATATCTCCACCTCTTAATTTGTGATACCTATTTTGGAGTTACAGTATATGATATGTATATAACTAGGTGATAAGGAACTTTTTTAAGTGATTTATTAGACCTAAGTACAAATAAATAATATTATAGGAATTTAAGTTTGATTAAAGATTCCATTACATGAGATAGCAATTGCATCTACTGTACTGTATGTATATCAAGAATAATTTTTCTACAAGATATAAGTTCAGTAGTCTCTGAATGAAGGTTGTGGTAATAGGTCTGTTATCATCAATCTCTCAACTGATTGCAATGAGAACTAAGCATTTGATAAATAAATAGAAGCTTGACTTGTAAGTAGTTACAAGACAAGCACTTTGAGTGTACAGTACACGTATTGCAAAAACTTCTGTATACAAAACTTTATATCACTAACTTTAAATGCATTATATGGGAAGGGGGGGTTGCTGCAGCACCCCAATATTTTTTGTATAAGGTGTTATACATACAGAACAGTATCTAGGACACCAGAGTTAACATTCAGCTTCCCTTGGTAAAATTTGGTTCCCATGGTACTGCAAAGGCCACATGCACCTCCTTACCAAATTTCAGCTCTACCCTAAAAAAAAACTAGCAGAAGTGTGTAGCACAAAGTGAGCCTAGGAGTTCAAGCATGGGCATGAAATCCTTGATGACCTTCAGATACCACCAAAAGCAATTGTAGACCAAGAGCTTGTCCATGGTGAACCAACATATCAAAATCGATAAGTTCTGAGGCTGGCATTTCATATGGAAGTGTGGTGACCATCATCCATGAACATTTGGGGATGTCGAAGGTTTCTGCAAGATGGGTTCCTCAGAACCTCAGCTCTCAGAATCAACATCAGAGAATAGACTCATCACCAGCTTCTTGGACTATTGCATACAAAGCCAATCGAGCTAACTAGCCAGGTTTTCCTGCTTCCATTTAGTCTGGTTCAGAAAAGTTCACACCAGTTCAGCTCTTTGAAGTCCGGAGGAGAATGAATTTACACTGGCTTCATTCTGTACTCTTCCTATTGGCTGGGCAGATGAGAAAGAGCATCACAACAACGTTCAAACAAACGGACAGCGAATTGCACACAAAACACTATAATACAGATGTTGATTTTTTTTTGCAATTTTTTTTTGAATAAAATCATTGCTGAATACTGCAGCAGACATGATATAAATACGTATTTATCCAGTTATCCACTGCAAAATACTGTACCTACTTTGGAGACCCCTAACACAAGTCCTTACTTAATTTAACAGCTTATTTGCATGTAAATTACAATTCAGAACAAGTGGATTAATATTTTATTAACAATTAATTGACCTACTTTACATTTATTAATACTTTTTTTAAAACTCTTTAATACACCGACCGTATTATCAGGGCTGCCATTTTTATTTAATGTTACTCAGGTTACGAGTAGCTCTCAAGGAGCATAATAAAACTGGAGATGGTATGACATCATGATTACATCCCACTTGGACGATCGTCTGTTGTATGCGATTTAACGTAACATAACTAACATCATAACCTAACCTAACCTGATCATTTAACTAAGAATCGTATAAAGCAGAATGTGGCATGTATATCGAGTGGAAATATCTTGGAGGTTATCATTTTCTTTCTTGTGAGCCTTTTCCTGCAGTGATGAAGGGTGACTGGAAACAAGTTTACACACTGTCTACTTGATCTGTTCTCTTTTTCTGCATTCCTAGTTGTGCTCTGCTTTGGTGTATCTCTTCCAAAACAAGGTCCCGAGATATCCCAAGTATAAATATTATGGTGTCCAGTATAGTACTGATCAAGCATGAGGGGATGGATGCTGATATATCAATCTTGGAAAGCAGACATATCAAGTAGTATTGCAAAATAAGATGAGGAATGAGAAGTAAAATGGAGACATCAAGCCACCTTGTGTGTGGTTTCTTTTGATGTAAATTTCACCACTGTAACCCAACAAAATAAGTTTGTAAGGCACAATTTCTATAAGGCTGTCATTTGGGAGGGACTTTTTGAGATTAAAGTGAGGAACAAAGACGGGGGGGAGAAATGAGACAATGTTTAACTAATAAAGTAGTTTTGGTATGGTTTTGGCAGGTTGATTGAACGGTTCATATCTTGTTAATTAACACACAATTTAAGTGAATAAAAAGCATTTAAGATTGATTTTATGCTGTAGATATATATTGTGGAGGAATAGAATAAATTTGTAAACTGCAAAAGGCTGTACAAAACACTGTACAGTAATATTGTTAGTTTATTAGTTTCCATCCTGTGAGCCAACAAGGGGTTTAAGGACTGGTCTGTGCTTGGACTTTGTCATTTCCACTCGTTACACAGAAACAGCAGATTTTTCCATCAAACTTAACATGTGTGCAAAAACGTATAAGTGGGTCCCCTGGGCCTCATGACACATAAGTACAGTGCAGATACAGCACTTTACAGTAGACCCTTGTTATATCGCAAGAGTGAGACAGAATTACTGAGAAGTGAATAACAATATACAGGGGATGGGACTGATGCTCATAAATTCCTCAGACATATACTGTACAGTCTATTTTATCTAATTGTACCAACCCAAGTTTATCTACTATCTAAATTTTTTCCTCGACGGAGAAAGTCTGGGATTACAGTGCACAAGTACAGGTGTAATTAAATAAAGAAAGCCAAGTATTTAACCATGAAATAATGATCTACTGAACTTTTTTTGTACATAAGGAAGCAGTGTGGCTAGCAATGTACTTTACCACCCCCACTCTTCATCTGTAAAGTTTAGTATCTTTATTGTTGGGTTGAATTTGAGTGCCTATCTTTTGGTAACACTGTACAGTAGAAAAATTGTCTCGGAATATTTTCGTAAAACTTGGTATAAGGTGAGGATAATAAGACAATGATGTTCATTAAAGTATTTGGATTAAATTAAAAATGGCATACTGATAAACACTGGTTGGAAACATACTGTATATTGTTGTGCAAGTGTATATTTAAATATTTTACATATCACACTAGGGAAATAAAAGTTCACATATTAGTGATGATGTTATTTACAAAAGATAAATTTTACATAATGCATCAGTAAAAGCAATTACTGAAATACGTACCAAGAAGGTCCAAGAAGACTAAAAAAAATGTTCAGCATCAACTTTCATAATATAGGATGAAATGCATTTCCACAATATACAAAAATGACTTAAGAGATAATATACAATGACGGCTATCCATTGCTTTACTGGGCTTCTGTGGGAGATGCCTCAGGTGCAGCAGGAATCTTGGGCTTTACCTGAAAAGATTCAGAATCTATAGGAAACCAAACTCCTGGAGGGTCAGTAGACATCTGTGATATACCTTATAATGCTCAGCTTTATTTACAGGATGTACACTCGCTCCAAAAATGTATCTTTACTGAGGGGTCCAATGAATTTAAAAATGAAAACAGCTCCTGTTGTCTCAGTATGGTTGTCAGAATCCTTTATCCATTGTCAATTATTATTTTTTTTCTATCATTTAAAGTTTTATGTACATTTTATTACTGTATTATTGTTCAAAATTTGTCTTGGAGTGTCATGTGGTGTGTGTGTGTATTAATTTTGGGTTGGCTTATGACAGATTTTTTCCCCCCAGTACATGTAGTAATCTAAATTTATCCTCACAGTTTAGGTTAGGACTCCACCCCACTTAAACCAGATTTGCCCTGATGTTAAGAATGACCAAATTGGCAAAGAAAAAGTTACTGAATGGAGGGAAATAGATCTATCTATATACAGTACATGTAATACAGTACTCACAAAGATTTTCTCTGCTTTCACTAGGAATGGCTCATCAAATTCATGTTGACAATTAGCATAACCCATACCCGCACCAGCACCTAGACCGAAGATAAGTGGCCATGGTCGCCCTGGAATCAGTGAATGAGTATTTAGTAAATTGTATTTCTGACTCGTATATACATTCAAATTACATGAACAAATGGAATATATAGAGGTTATATTTAATACTTATGGCAATTTACATAAATATTTAAGGCGTGATTACTAAAACTCTAAAAATACAATTATATTCACCTGAATGAATTACTGTACGATACTGTACTGATAAAATTATACCAACAACAGTTTCTCATTACATATAAAAATAAATTTATTTTAGAATGAAGTGTAGATGCAACCTCTAAAATTTCACTGTGCTTTCTCAAATATAAAAATCACACTAAAATGATGATGATTGATGACAAACACTAACACATTGTCTTTCACTTGTCCTATATTATATAACACCTGTATAAAGTATAACTTAACCTAACCATAATGTTTATTTTCCTTCATTGAGGACATTTAACATGTTACCTTCAAGTTCAATTATTGAAAAGTGTAAGTATCTGAAAGTTGTCACTAACCTATGAAAACAATTTAAATACAGTACGTACTTACTCTTAAAAATTATTGCAGAAAATACGACTCCAAGGGTGAGGCCTCCACCTAATTACAGGGAAAAAATTTCAATTACACCTGTATAATATAGCTATGAGTTATACACTGGGAACTTTATGAAGTAAAGTACTTTATGTGTATGAGATATAGAATTTGTTCATAAAATAAACCAAAGTTACCAAGCTAACTTGGTATTACTTCACTTGTTGCCACTACACCATCTCGGGAATCTTAGGAAGTTAGGTTAGGATATCCACATACAAGGATGACCGTAATTAAAATTTCAACAGTTAATGAAACAACAGATGAAAATTTCAGATAAATATGTACCGTTGACTCCCTACACCTGTCTCATTATTTCTTTACTGTCACAAGTTAAACAGTTTTCTGATAAATTGGCTGAGAACATAATTTCTTCTACTTGGTGTTACTAAAATACAGCATCTAAGTCAAACGTAAGGAATAACTGAATCAGATACTGTTCCCATAACACCAATAAATCGCGCAACTTCCTTTTCATGTGTATTATATGACATGTCCGTTTTAAAAAATGACATATCTAATTTCTATTAAATCAGCCGGGCAAGAGATGGGAGAACCGACATCTCTTAGGTCATGATATAGTCACACCACTAGAATCCTTACTCATATATCTGTTCATGAAACTTGCCCACAAATGTAAGCTAGTTTTACAAAGAAGCTCACCAATCTTGATTAAGGTATCAGCCACACAGCGGTCCCATTTTTGCCCAAGGATGTCTTCAGACTTGGACGTCGCCATTGTCAAGGAGAAGAGGACAAGGAGACACTCGTATTATTTTCCAACATATAAGCTATATACTCATGTAACCTCAAAATATTCCAGTTTATTGAAATAGACGTAATTAATTAACCTATTTCACGTATATTTATTCTTATTAATCTATATTTTCGTAAGAGGAAATAAAAGTGTTGGTTTGGTAGGTGCGGGTCTCTCCTGGTGGCGGCGCTGACGGTGAGTATCTGTAAACACAACATTTGGCGCCAAACCTTCATCCTTCAAGAGTCTCCAGTTCTTCTATATATACAGGTAATGTTGGGTATTTGTTGGGGATTTCGTACACAGTGGGAGTTTCATAAGGAAAATTGTCAACTGCTTGATATTTTCTAATGTTTGAATTAGGATTTTTTGCTTTGAGTTTAATATAAAAGCTGGAATGGCTCTTTTAGGGACTAGGGAGGGCTGGCTTGATGACATTGACCACTTTGTTATAATCTTCTTTACGTCTTCGACTCAGAGTAAAATCAACAGGAATTTGTTTTACGAAGTCTTCAGAACGGATAAATGTGTGCACTGATAGTAACTGATATAATGGTTGGCGTACAATTAACCAGATGTCACCTGATTCTCAGCTTGTTTTCTACATATATGCCTCTGTTTACATGATAATTGCTTGGTTTGTGATACAGTACTTATGAAACACGGACAGATGTGCTGTGCAATAACAATAATAATAACAGTAATAATAAGGATGAGCATCAGCTTTGAATGAGGTGGGTACAAGACATTAAAGTGGGTACGAGTTGTCATAAATTCTATAGGTATGTTTTGATCCCCATTACTGATACTGTTTCTACGGTGGAGAAGATGACTATTTAAACTATTGATTCTAAGGTAAAGGTGGAGAAAACGGTTATCACCAGAAGGAACTTATGGAATTGCACCCAAAATTTCTGGAGATGTTATTTGCATGATAATAAATAAGAAAATGGAAATGAAAGTGCACAGAACCTAACCTCACTGTATTTTCATTGTGGTCTGTAAAAAAAAATATAAACATGACAAAATGTGAAAAGGCAAAGATTGGTCATACTGTATTAAACATGTGATTACAGTATTAAAAAGTGGACCAGGAAAAAAATTATAATTTTAGCAATTACACAAATAACTGCAGTAATAAGAAAATTGAGTGAAATTTTTTTAATCATTGCTTTAATAATATAAGGGCGGGGGCTTTTTTCTTGTGTTTTTTCTTTTAATTTATATCATGGTTGTGGTTAACTTTTAAACTCGTCAACCTGTTTTTCTCTTAATTTCTTACTTCATTCATTTTCTCCATTAGTTCTGTCTGGTTATTTCAATTAAATTTTTTTAGATTGCCCACGAGGGGGCTAGTTTATTGGGCACCCCCTTAAATCCTGTGCAAGGTGAAGCGCAGAAGTATTTACAGTGCCCATCGGGGAAGCATGCGGAGTTCATGCTTGCCTTTATGACTCATGCATTAAGGGCGTAAAAGCCTGAAGGGTCATGGGTTTTGTCAGCAAGTTACATAAAGTGACAGAATGATGAGTGTGTGGGGGGAAAATTCCCGGTACAATTTATGTTTATGGCAAAGCGTGGCAGGTCCCTAATAATGTCAAGTGCCAGGCCTGTCACTAGGAGGAGGGATATCTGGTCAGGGAGGGAAGAGGTGTTGGTAACGGCTGGGGACCTGTAGGAGGAGGTCATAGGGCAAGTGAGGATGTAGTGAGAGAGGGTGTGAGAGTCGGTTGACCACAAAGTTTACAAACAGTGCGGCCAGGCTCAGGGATGCCAATGTACTAGGCGTGGCGAAGTACAATGGGGGTGGAGGTGATATGGTGTGGTGGGACAGGTACAGTAGGGGGTGGAGGGAGGCACATAGGCATTGACAATATTGAGAGACACACCTTTTAGCGTGATTGTGATGGCGTGTTCGTCGACGTGCTGGTGGGGTACGGGTAGCCGGGGGTGGTGTCCTCAGGTTCAATGGGCGGCTCTGGTGGAGACGGCACAGACACAGTAGTGGGCGCGGCTTGCGGTGGGTGGAGGACAGGTTGAGGCACCACGTGTCGTGAAGATGAGGCAGGACTTCGCTCGGGGGCAGCAGGACATACCAGGGCAGGCCCAGTAGGCACTACACCAGTAGTGAAGGCCGCCGGCGGTGGAGTAGGCCGTGAGCAGGGGGGGCTCACAGGGGGACTACCAGCTTGTGTCAAACCAGAAGAGAGGAGTGACTGGGTGGCAAGAATAGGACGGAGATAGTGGTACAGAGTGTAGCGAAGAGTTTTTCAATATGGTTGGTAAATTCTTGGAAGAGGGATATGATCTGTGTCGTGTCACTGAAGGGGGGTTGTGAGGGGGCACCGGTGGGAGCACAAGGCCTGACAGCTTCAGAATACAGAGTACAGGCTGCTGTGTTGCAGCCAGGTGAGGCCAGGCAGGGGCAGGTGTTATTGAAGAAGGCATTGCAGGAGACAGATGGGACACAAGGGTGTGGCCCAGAAGACTGGGGGGTTGTGGTAGAGCGGCCTTGGGAGGCTTTTCCCCTGGGACAGACGGGCGATTGGGGCATTGCTGTGAGTCAGCATTGTGCGGGCCGCTACAGTTACAACCTCTGGGATCAACTACATAGCCCACACCACCCCTATTAAGGTGGTCTTTGATTTTCTGGGCACAGGCGGTGGAGTTATGGTTTCGTGAACAGAAGCGACATCTGGAACGATCACGTTGGCAGCAGACAGTGAAGGTGTGACCCCAATGAGAACAGAAAACACAAAATGCAGGCCCAGGTTGATAGGCTTCTGCATACAGTGGGGGAGGAGTGGGTGGGCATCCACAGTGGTTGGGCACTCCCTTTCCTTCCACTTATCAATGACAGCAGCTTGTGGAACTTTCCCCCCGTAATGTCGACGTATACTGAGTATACTAGAATTAAAGTCACGCGCATCTTCGATGTCAGCATATAGGGGGAAACATTTCACTAGGATGTGGCAACATTCATCAGTGTCTACGGGGGGGGGCACTAGGACAACCCCGTCAAAGCCAACAGTACTAAGTGTTTCATAGACCTCAGGAGTCTGACACTTGATAAAGTTCTGGTTCTTACTTTGTCGGAATTGAATGTTGAGACCTTGCTGTCTGCAGTACTTCATCATCCAATTAAAGAGTTCCTCTACAGTTTTCAGAGAGTCCTTGGGGACGTGTAGATTTAGCTTATGGTTGGCAGAGTGCAGAGTGATAGGGTCCATGGCATTAGTGTTTCCACTCTGGCTAGTGTTTCCCATAGAAACATTACCGTCACTGTCATAATCACTGGGGTCTGACTCTTGAAGGGTGTTGGATTCAGTATGACCAGGAGAGTTGGCGATGGCATCCGCATCAGAGATGTCTGCGTTCATGAGAGAGCCTCTTCTGGGCCGTTTATGTCGACCCCCCATGCTGGCAAAAACTTGCCAGCTGAGGGGACGATCGGGAAGTCAAGAGCACCTATGGGCACGTCTGTCCCCTTATGTAGTCACGCCACGACTGAGTTATTTCATTTCATATAGTTACTTCATAACTTCTGACCATTGGTAGCATGGTGAGGGTTAGGGCACATGGGTTCTGTAATTCTGGTATCAAGCTATTGGACAAGAATAAAGGTAGATACTGAGGGAAAATGATACCCCTAACATACTCTGAAAATGGTTTATTAATATGAAATTAAATTTGGTTAAAGATGTCATTAGCATACAACTACAAGGATCAACTCCTTGGCTTTACTCATCTGCAATTCCAATTAGATACTCTTGCTTCTTACATCATTACTGGTTGTACATTTAAAAGAACACACCACATGACAAGCTTACATATGGCACCTTCACTAGAACTCAGTTGGTAGTACATATGGAGGATGCACTCACAACACATAACACGTTATTACTGGTACTATCAATATTTATGGGTTCACTACTCAACATGGGATAACTAGATTTCTGCTAATTATCCCCAATCATATAAAACAATAATACTTTGGCCCATATAACTGTAAGGAGTGCCCCAGGGTGTCACACTGGTGTCACCGCAACAAACGGAGAGCGCTGTTAGGGTCGGCTACAGTCCGACACACTGTGAGGGAGTTCGAACCTAGTTCCCAGGGTGCGGACTCGCACAATTTAATCGTGCCGAATTAATGACATCCTGCAAGGCAGCCAGCTGGTGTGCAGCTACCGGTCCCCCGGTGACTGTCGGGTATTCAGCTAACACACACACAGTTCCTGAAATATGATGAAGTGTCAGAGATGTGAAAAATAACTCAATCACCAAAAATCTTTCGTTTGGCAACGACAAACAATATTTACGTTACATTAATTCTTTTACTGGGTAAATTATAATTTCACTGTTACAACATGAACACTAATATTCACAAAATTCACTGAGTTAAACTGACTTCATATGGCGAGCATGAGAACGTACACATACCTGAGATATGATGGGACAGCGTCAGAAATGTGACGCTGCTCCTTGGGCACGAGTTTATATACGGCTAACTGGCAACTCAGGCCTGTGCGCTACATATGCCAGAAAGACTAATCATGCAATGACAGAAATTACATTCTACTTAGTTGCTGTACATTTAACTATGAAAATCAATGCCATGTGTCAGGTGAATTTCTTATGTCTATTTTTATAATCTAATCAGAGATTGAGCTTGCCAGGAAGAAGTGAAATAGACGTCAAATACACACGCTGTTAACGTCATCCTCACAACATCAGTGGGATTTCTAGACAAGGACCCTCTATGGGTATACGTTGAGATCTTGGAGATAAGAGTGTGATATATTCTTTTCAGGAGATTAATTACATTCTTAAATAGACAATTGACAATAATCAAACTACAATTATCAGATTCTCTGAGGTTTGGGCATCAAAATAATCTAACTTCAATGGCAATTGGAAATTCATGGCTATCCCCAAGGACGATATCACGGGATGTCATTCGTACTGGCAGACTCGACACTCACTCACTTGACAGGTGTTACTAACAATAAAGACAGTTGAAGCTTTCAACATCACTCACAAAGGATCGTGAATGCTTTAACTGTAATCAGACATCTCTAAGTTGGTGCAAAGCAACAGTGTTCTTGCTCACATTCAAATTTACTTTATAGAGATTGGTTTCAGGAAGTCAGAAAATGGACAGCACCTAAGCTAGGGAAAACGCGTTTCTTCCTCGTGATAACTCACCAGTTATCCACATGTTTTGAGGGCGTGGAGCATAATATGAATCATCAGGTTTCAAACAGACCAGCCGTGCCATTGTGACCATGACAAAAATGGTACTGTATTCTCTTGGTATTTCTAGTTGGTCGTATACAGTAAACATATTGACAGTTTTCTTAGTTGTTTGTGCTGTATTTATGGGGCCTTTTAAATTATAGTTATATGTTAAGATGATCATGTGTTATAATTACTGGACTGTAGATGACTCACCACTTTGACTTTTCCAGCCCAAATTAAAATTAAGGATGGAGTTCGGGAGTCGAAGAGTACGCAAGAATCGGCGAATAGAAATCGAGACGTCTTATCCCAACGCTTTGCAACTGTACACAACGCCTCCCTCGGGGAATATCTCCCTCCAAGAATTTGATGAGATGGCTATTGAGAGGTTAAAGGGTAAGTTGAATTTTGTTTGTTAAGTTTCATGGTAAAATTGCTCTACTTTTCATGCTGAACCTTTTCATTTAGTAATTATGAAAAATGTTTTAAGTTTTACAGTGACTTTGTTTATCATCTTTAAGTATAGCATTTTGTATTGTTGATTATTTAATTGTAATATTGTAAATATTTTTGCTCAGTTTAAACTTTAATGTCTATCTTTACTATATAAACACGTTTGTTTTCACTTTCCCAAAAAATATCGATTTACGTCCAAAATACTTGGGGTAAAAAAAAATAGATTTTATTTTAAATTCCATACAAAGGTACTACTTTACATGCTGATTAAGAATGTGGGTTCACAATTTTAAAAATCGAGCAATTAGTGCTAATTAATGACCTTTGAAATAATTAGAGATACTGTATTTAAAAAGTTAATTATGCCATGCCCATAAGTTTTAAATCACCTTCATGTACTTTTTCTTAAAAATATACTGTAGACTAAATTGTGACATTTTGGATCATCTGAAAATGAGGCACCCTAGTTTATTTCACCTTAAGATTGACCACCCTAACATTAACCTAACCTCACCAGATAGCATATGGTTAATTATCTGGTGAAATGAGATGAGATGCATAACCTTGTGTTTTTTAATTCCTGTTGGGGGTGTCTTAGTCTTCTGGTGGTTTTTATTTATGTACAGTATTGCAGAATGAAGAGCAGCAATATATCTAAATATAGTACAGTATATATTTTTTTTTTTCTCCAGTTTTAAGGACTGTGGAACGCCTGAACCTCAGTGGTCAAATTAAGAACTCTGAAGATTGGATGAATAAGCTATATGAGGACTTTTCAAAACACAAGTACTTTATACACTCTGCTGTAAGTAAGCTTAAAATTAAACAATTCTTGCATGAAAATAAAGTCATAGAATGTTTAGAATACTAATGTGTGTATTTGGGAGTTTTAATTATGTCTTGAACCAGCCTTTGTTTTGTAATAATGTATTTCATAAGTAAGATCATGGCTTAAATTGAGTTCATAAATGACAGGGTACTTTCTTGCTGGAACGTTCTCTCAGTGTTTACCCATTGAGGGAGATGATCCTTATTTTACTTACAGTACTGTACTGTACATTTTTTTCTCCAGGAGTTGCATATACTGTATGTCTCATAATAATCAAACTAATTTGTAAAAATCTCATAAATGTGTAGATTGGGATTGAAAGGGGAGGAGCTGAAGAAGAAAAAGATGGTTGCAGTCGTAGAAAATGCAACTGAAGTGGGAGGTCGGAACTTGTAAGTTAGAGGGAATATGTAGTCGTATGACACAGCATTGTTCAGTAAGGAAAAGGGAAGAGCTAATTACAAGAAAGCAGCGACAAAAGGAGAAAAGTGTATAGGGAGATTGGAGGGTAGTAGTGAGAGTGGTAGAATAATATAAAATAAGAGCAGATGGAAACTGGTCCGGGCTGCGGGTTGCCAATGCCTGTTATAAACAAACTATACAGTGTGACTGAATTGATGTTATATACACTAGAGTGAGGTACATCTGGGAGTGAAGTGCCGGTTAGTAATACTGTATAGTAATCTGTTGTTAATGATCAAGACAGAAATGTTTATTTCAATCCAAACTCAAACAAAACTGACAGACCTACTCAAACCTATCAAAGCAAATCTGACCCAAAATTTTTTGATTTGGATTAGATTCAACCTGGTCAGACCCATTTTAGTGTATGATATTACTATTGTTATTGGATTTCTTTATGGATGGAGTAGTTTGAGAATGGAGCCTGTGGAGTGAAGCTGTAACTTGGTAATGGTGATGAGAGGATGTAGAGCATTTTCAGTTTTAAGTTTGCACCTCATTACTCAGACAGCATCTTGAAAAATAAATCCTTTTTAAAGAATACTGCATTGTATTTGAACTATAGTTATATGAATATTTTGTTCTACAGGAGAAGATATCAGACAATAAGAGGGATGAAGTTGAGGCAGCACGAAGACGTGATCATGTGTCTCATTTTGTCCTGCGCTTGGCTTACTGCCGTTCAGAGGAGCTCCGACGCTGGTTCATTGTACAGGAAACTGATTTATTTCGTGCTCGCTTCCTTCATTGTTCCACAAATGGGTCTGACATTAAGAACTTTTTGGTCAGTAATAATCTTCATTTCACACCAGTAAGTAATAATTTACAGTTTCAACTTTTTGCATGATGTAGTCAGTTACTTTTCCTCTTCCTTTTAGATGTCTTCACTATACATCCCTTTAACAGTTCTCTTTGTATAACAACAGCTGTGATATCCGGTTCTTTTTGTCATCAACCAGTTTAACATGATTAATAGATAATTAAACTGTCCATAAAGTAAGGTTTTGAGTAGACTCTTATTACACAGTTTTAAGTGCTGACCAGGTTTACAGTCTTGTTCAAGATTCTTTGAACATTGCTGGAGACAGCTGTCAACTGAAGTCCGTTTGTTACTTTAGTACATAGTGTAATATAATACGAAACAACAAAGCCCAACCATTAATTAAGCAACGGGGAACTAAGTAACCAATCACCGATCACTTTTACATTCATTCATAATTTTTACTACGGACTATAGTAAACAAACGGCCTTGAATTGCCGGCTGTCTGCAGCAGTGTTCGAAGAATCTTTAACGAGACTGTACATGTAAAGAGACTGTGACCTTTGTACAGTATTGCACTGTATTATTTCATTATTGTACTGAACTGATTTTTACCAGACCAAGTAATGCTTTTTCATCATTGCCTAAGATCCACATGCAGGTACATTGGAACCGAATTAGCATGGGTGCACAGACTTACATGTACAGTCGGCCACAGGAATAAGTATACACACTGTAAAGCTGTACGGTCCGAAAATGGTCTGGTAACGTTGAAACTGCGCAACCAGATGTTTGATGAAACTCAGCTCCCCCACCTGTTATCCCAAACTATTTTCTGTTTCCCCTTTTTTATTCTTCTATTTATTCCTCTTCCTTCCTTTACTTATCTAAACATCAGTAAAAAAAAAGTAGGGTAAGAGAAAAAGTGGGGGAGGAGGAGGGAGCTGTACGATAACTGCAATCCCATTCGGCAACAAGTTTAATACCATTGGATACAATATATTACTTGTAATATGAACACAAGACACTAGTAAAATATTCACAACAAATGTAGGAATAAAACATAAATTACAGGTCATTTTGTAATTTTGTCTGTTTTGTTCAGGACAGTGTTACCAGATATTTTGTCTCAAACACGAACTGTAGGTGTATACTTATTCTTGTGGCCGACTGTATATATAGTATAGTAATGACACAGTAAATTTACTGTAAGTGAGGAAATATAGCACTGTACAATGTACAGTTAAAGAAAAAAGTTGTGTTACACTTTAACATTATGTTCCAAAACCCATGACGATGATTTTGGGTAAAGTGATAGCGAAGCTTCGAGGTTGAGTCTGAATGGGGAATTTTATCAAAATCAACTACTGTATGTGATATTAGTAGCTGTGGCACCATTCTTTACCTTATGTACTTCCTTGTACAGTTTGCTAAACCTGATTTGCCATTCCTCTAAGAAACTTAGATTTCTCCTCCCTCTCATGTCACTTCGACTTTCCTGGTTACTACTTCAAATCTTAGAAGAGGTGCTGGCCTTTGCTGCTGTGTGGAGTCTGAGGTTGCTTTTGTTTGATATGATCTCTAACTTTTGTCCTCACTTTGCCATTATTTGCAAGCTCTCCTGTTCGAGTACAATACTGTACTGTGAAATATTGTTGCTGTGTCTAGCTCTCCTAATACTGTACTTCTTCAGTGCCCAGTTGATTTCACTCTCACTGACAATATACATAATATTCAACCTAACCTAATTGGTAAGTTGCATTTGGTTTTATGATTTAAATATTGTACTATCTTTCAGATTTCAAAAGAAGAAGTACATAATCAGCGTGACAACTTGATAGCTGGAACATACAAAATAAACAGCGGTGACATGATGGAAGGCCGAACATTCTTTAAAGTGAGTTGTTCTTTTGTTTTGATGTTTCTTCCTAAGTTATTGAAAAGCTTTGATTAGGTTATCGAAGGGTGATCCAGAAGATATAAGTTTCTGGGTTTGAAGTAACAATTTACTGCCATGTATAACATTGTCAGGTTTACACTGGCTAAACAGATTTAATTTTTTAACAAGTATAAGTTTCAGAAGCTTATAATGGAGATGCTGATATACAATGATTTACACACAATAACATGGACTTTAATGTTAGATTAATATATCTATCTAGCCAACATTAATGCACATAATACCTTCACTGCTTATTATTCATTCTTCCCTCATTCATAAAATGCCTTCCTTGTGCATTTTCTTAAACTACATATAATTTCAGGTACCATTCACAGAAGCCCTGGAGTTGGTGCGGCAAAGAAAAGTTTATTTAAGCGGTGGTTATGCATATGTTCCTGATACAGACTTGGTCACCCTTGTTACAGCATCCTTTAGGTCTAATCTTTCCCGTGCTCTTGCGGTATGTTTTATTTCTGAAGCCCTTATTGTTTTGCAGTGTTATAATAGCCATTTTTTTTTTTTTATTAATTTATAAAATATGGTAATACTGTATTAAAGACTTTCAATTTGTCACATACTGATTACATGAACGAGCCTGTCTTCAAAATACATTTGTTAAGGAAGTCTAATTAGATTATAATACTATCCAGATAACAAACAAAGCACTGCCTCAATTAGAGGATGATGAACGGTTGACACGACTTCTACACGACTTTGACAAGCGATACACAGGCAACAGCTATTCACAAAAGAAGAGTGGAGACGGTCTTCACATAACCCCAGATATGATTGACGAGCTTTCAACAAAGTCATTCCCTTTATGTATGCGCCAACTGAATGATACTCTCCGGACAGCTCATCACCTACGTTATGGTGGACGACTCACTTATGGATTATTCCTTAAAGCAGCAGGATTGAGTTTGGAAGATGCCTTATACTTTTGGAGGTCTCATTTCTTAAAAAATATGGATGTTGACAAGGTAAGGTTAATGGCTAGTGACTTTAATGAGGTGATTTGTGAATTATAACCTCTTATATATATATATATAATATATATATATATAATATATATATAATATATATATAATATATATATAATATATATATAATATATATATAATATATATATATATTATATATATATATATATATATATATATATATATATATATATATATATATATATATATATATATATATATATATATATATATATATATATATATATATATATATATATATATATATATATATATATATATATATATATATATATATATATATATATATATATATATATATATATATATATATATATAACCTTATTCCAAAAGGAATATTTAGGAGCAAAACTTCAACATCAAAAGTAATGAACAACTGGTCGTTGAATGCCATGCAAGGAAACATATAAGCTAAGATTAAATAAGGACTATAGTTACAACAGGAAGGTTTAACTGATCAATAGATTATTTTCAACCTATAGTATTGTTGAATTTTCTTGGTTTCCAACCTGTAGTTGGTGAGGTATTATAAGAGATGTTTTATTCAGGTTTGGTTATAAAATGGAATATCAAGGATAAACCTCAGTAATCTACATTTAACGCATCCCATTTTTCTTTCATAAAGTGATTTATGAACCCTTTGTTTTATTCTCATATCTTCAGTTTGAGAAACAGTATGCCTACAACATTCGTTACAATTATGGAAAAGAAGGAAAGAGGGTAGACTTCACCCCATATAGCTGCCTGAAGATCATAATGACAAGTATAGGGCCTGGTGATGCTCATGGGTGTCCCTTCAAACACAACGATCAAACCATGCTGCGACAGCGTCTTGTAAGCTTCAAAGTGCCACAGCAAGGTAACAGTGGATCCAGACTTTTTCAGTTTTGTTAAATGTTTAATCTGCTTTGTGGAAAAGTGAATTTTTTTATTAACAAGCATACAGCCATTAGCTATTCATGGAAAACATTGATGATGATGACTTAAGGTCAAGGGAAAGTTCCATCTCTCAGGCAGCAACAATGGTTTCTTTACCAATGACAATTGCAAATACAGTACAGTACCTCAGTTTAGGTCATATTTCTTCAACCATAGCCAAGGTTTATAAGATACATAATGTAAATCTGTTTAAGTCACGTGTTAATAGAGGGTTAAAAATTGTGATTTAGTGACAAAATAAAACCTGTGTTTAAAGCTTGATTTTTATTTATTTGTTTTATACAGAAGTTTTATTTAGTCATGCGAAGATATACAATTTATGTAAAGAGAGGAAAAATAGCATCATGCTCTATAAGAAATACTGTAAATGTTTTTACAAATCCTAATTGAACAAACTCATTATCAAATTACAACTGAATCTTCATATCATATTTTTAAATATGAAATGCTGTACATCTTTATTGCAGCTGTTAATGAAATAATAGAATTGGTGAGCATGAGTCATTATCAGGTGGCTTGCCAGCGGTACTGGGAAGCCACTCACAATGCTTGCCTTGATGCTGGTATCAATCACCCCAATCAATTCTTTGAGGAGAGTCAGAAGATTTTGAATGGACAAACACAACCAAGTCAAGGTAAATCTTGAAGCAAAATGCACTTTATTGTCTTGTTTAGTTTGAACATGAAAATGTTTGTGCCTTTGTCATATTTTGCCCTAAGTGTTGGAAATGTCCGTTTGGCAGTCTGACAATCTGTGTTTACTTTTTGCTTTTGTCATTATTTGATGAATTAAGCCATTTTTTGTTATGATGTAGCATGTCCAGAGATGTGCTGATCTGATTTTTAGCATTCAACAACTAGTGCAAGGGCTAATGCACAAGCAGGGAAGTCGATCCTCTGGTCTGAAACTGAACCCTGTGATTGAGACAAATAACCTACCAATGAGCTTTTGAATCGCGAATAATAAAAGAGCACTGTCTTTATACACTATATTATAAGTTACTCACTGGAAGAATAGGGACATTTATCCTCATCTCCTTGTTCATATGTAGATACAGTGAAATCTTGCCATGAAGTGAATTGCCTTAATTAAGACCTATGTTTTGAAAATGTCTTCTTACTATCCGATGTAAACTCTTTATGTTCTGTTGCTCATGAAGAGCCATAGCCATATAGATACAGTACTTGCCAACAGTGCATTACAGAGATATAACCGACCGCCCAAGCAGCTAACGAGCCAATCAGTGAGAAAGAGGATAAAGTAGATCATTGTTGTCTTTGCTCTTTCTTTACTGACAACATTATTGTGCATTTGATTTAAAGTTCTTATGTATACTCTACTCTGTTTAATTACAACACTCTTCATCCATACCAAATGGTAATGTTCACTTTCTCGGGTCTTTATTTAATGTTTTAAAGAAGAGAGGGGTGATTATTTCCACTAATTGTGTTTTGCCACAGAAAAATCCAAAGGTAGCAGCATCAAATGAAATTAATTTCATGACAGCATTGGTAAACAAGGTTATATAATCTCATTTATTATTTATATTATTAGTTATCATGATTATATCTGCCAAATTCAACAAACACAATATATCACTGATGCTAAGAGTGACAGGAATCTAAAACAAGTGCAGCATCTTCCTTCAGGTCCTGGTCTCATATTCCTCTTCCACATCATGACTTCAAATATGTATCTGGTTTACCCTTGTCACTTTATTTAAGTATACAATTAATGAATATACGTTACTAATAAACAGATGATCAACATTGTCCAATTTCACACACAGGCAAGAGGACAATGCACGTGAAAACAAATCGTAGTGTTATGTACTCCTCTCAGTCTTCAACTCAGTCCACACAAGAAACGACTCAGTCCACACAAGAAACGACTCAGTCCACACAAGAATCGACTCAGTCCACACAAGATTCAACTCAGCCCACACAAGCTTCAACACAGGATTGTGGCAATACCTCGGATTATGATTCCATGATTTTTGATGATGATTTGGACTCTGTTATGATTGGACAGAGTATGGAATCAGAAGATGCTTGATGAAGTTGTACTATACCTGTATAAGTACAGTACAGTATATGGGTGTAGTACACATATAGAAATGGCTTCTATGGGCTGGACAGATGATTTTCATAATATGGTGAGTACAAGTTATGGTAAAGGTACAAAAGGTGATATTGGTATGACATGATTTATGTTCATACCAAAATATAGTAAAAAAAAGAATGCTTGAATTGTTTATTACCTTCAGTTTCCCTGGAGATTGCACCTCAGAGTTTTACTTTTCTCCTTGGCACCAATGTTGACCAGGATGCTTAATTTATTGCTATATTTCCTATTTGTACCTGTATATGGTTGTTTGTGCCTGTGGTTCACAGGAACTTACATCTGTCACAGCCAGGTTGAACTTGCACACTTCTAAAAAAATTGTAGTGTTCATTTTTTAAACAGTGTTGTATATAATCTTGGTGCAGAAGGTGTGTTCATAGTAAAGATCCTCAGATAGTGTTTGGGGTCTTGAAATTATTCACTATGCGGAAGAGAAAAAAAAAGAACCTATCAGTACCTATATATTATAAAAATATACAGTCTATACTTTTTTTTTTTTACTGTATATCACCTGGATTGCTGTCAGTTCTTTGGCATGGGTGCATAGCTGTCATCTACTTGAAAGATCTATCATGCCAGATATTGGTAGACAGGGTGCTGGACCTTCTTAACTTCAACTATATCACCAACACATCATGTCCCCTCTCAATAACATACCCAATATTGTTGACACATATGTTTAGACTTAGAATTTCACTTCCTTAGTGTGGCACTTGTTGCCATTTCCTTGGCAACCAGGTTTGTAATGAGTGGCAGCAGCTATGTAGTGTCTAGGGTAGTAATTTTTAGACCTGTGAGTTCATAACATGTTGCATTCCAATGCTCCTCCTTAGGTATGCTAGACTTCCCAGAACCTACCATAATGACACACCAGCACTATTTCCAAGAGATAGCCTCTTATTGTCAGTGCCCTGTATTGTAATGAGCACATGTTATAAGAGTACTTACTGTACTTCATGTTGAAGTTTTTGAAATTTTATTTCATTTACCAATAACTAAGATAAGAAATGGGATTTGTGCATTGTATTTTCTTGAAGACCCCTTTTTAGCTACCATATGTTCAATAGGCAGATAGCCCATAATAATCCAGGCTACTGTCTCCCACAATGCAAGCCATGGTGAACTTTATTCAATCACCATTCTCTCCTCACTGTACTGTCTCTCTCAAAAGAGGGAATCTAGGTTCAGTAGTTGCTCTCAAGGGGTTTGGAGGTCTTCTTTGAGCTGAGCCCGTCCAACCAGCATGTGCTGTGACAAGGCTGCTGTAGCACTACTTACATCCTTTGTCCTCTCTGGTCTCTCCGTAATGTATTGTTGAACTTTTCCTCCCACAATTTAGATGGTTTTCCTCTATACAGTGCACCTTCTAGATAGCCTCCGCACACCCTCTTTACTCTTCTCTCCTTTTGCGTCCTTCTCACGGGTCTATACCATCTCACTGAGTCTTTATCCATTCCATCACAAGAATTTACAATCTATCCCTTTGCTACTATACCAAGCAACCCATACACTCAACTATTTCTTATCCTTTCCATTCTGGTAATTCATGAAGTAGCCCTTGGGTAACTCATCTTTGTTGCTTGCAATTTTGTGCAACCTGCTCCATTCCAAGTCCATGTTTCACTGCCTTAAATTAAAGTAGGAAGCATTATACTATCTCTTAGTCTTCATTACCTCCAAGCTACAGTCAATTTCTTGATGCTCTCTAGCTCTCCCATCACTCTCTTCCCACCTTTATAACATTCTTGCTTAAAATTACTTCCAGTTCTTGAAATCTTATAGAAGGGTATTATTGTAGCCTTCAACCAATCATCTGGTACCTTACCTGATCTTCATGCTGTATGCTGATTGGGTAAACTTGGCTCATAGAAGAGCTTCTAGCCCCAAGTTCCTCATTTGAGATGGATGGTGCAGTAGGGTGGGAGGGGTGAATGTTATACTGAAATGGGTTAATAAGTCACCCTGGCTTATATTGTGGGAACAGACAAACCAATCTGATTCCTCCAGTAAGCAACCTTTTATGGAAGCCACCTGGCCATGAGTGGGCAGAAGACATTGTTCACTTAGTTGTAAATAAGTATATGTTCAACCAGAAAGACTCATTGTAAGTCATAACTTACCTTGGAACCATATTTCTCATAGATTTCTGTTCATTGCAGGCTGGTAAAGGGCCAAGGTGATGTAGATCAGTTCTGTGCATGATGGTGGAACTACTGAAGGCCTAAAATATACTCTTCTTTTTATTTATTTCTCAGGAGCTATTCTTATACATTTGAAAATTAACTTGCACTCTTGAATCTAGTATAATTTTGCACTTCTTTTGTGTACTAAAGTTATTTTTGTGTACATAAACATGAATTTGATGAGTCTTATGTCAAATAGTGAAATATTAACAGTGCTTTTGGTTTGTGGAAATGAAGATGTTAAAATTTTCAATGACAACATTTTCATCTCTTTAATAATGAATTATTTTATTTATTTACTGTATTTTTGGTAGGGGGGTGGGTTGGGTACAGTAATTACAGGGACAGTCAAACTCCATACATTATATACATATGCATTCAGGTATCTCTCACTATACAGTACAAACATTCAAGAACGAAAATTCACTTACTGTACAGGATATGAATTTCCTAAATTTATACCTTTTTTTCATGTTTCGAAGGCTTACCCCGCTTATATGAATTTGGGTCCCTGGAAAAATTCAAATCGCGCACCCCTGGGAGTCAGCCGGGGCGGCCAGCTTGGAGAGATGCACAGAGATGTATTCTAGCTCACTGATTTTAAGTCCCCCTCCCTCCCGCATCTCCCATAATCCCATGTCTGTATTTCTGCCATTGGGTGTGTGTGTGTGAAGTGATCTCTCTTTATTTATGTGTATTCGTGTCATCCTTTTGTTATTCTATTTGCCATGACATTCAAGTGTTCTGCTGAATCTTGGGCTATCTGTACTACACCAAAGAAAATACGAAAGGCTGAGACTCTTGAGACAGTAGTGATGAGGTGGACAGCCCTCCTCATCTCACTTGTGGTGAGCCCAGTAAGCAATCTCATAAGATAGTAAATTACAGTACAGGGGTAGTTGTGTACTATTTATCATTGGTTAGGTAGGTTCATTATTGTTTGTGAGCTGATTTCATGTTTTTTGGGGTATGATATTGGGGTTTTATTGTCATCGGGGAACTGATCCCAGTTTTCCCCATTGTTATTCTTATTCGCTATATGAAAGTTCACTTAATGAATGGTTTTCAGGAACCTAACCCATTCATATAGCGAGGGATACCTGTATACATACATACATTCAACTTGAATCATGAGATTGAGAGGTCTGTGATGATCCTGCTATTATCAGGAACTTCATTTTCCAAGTTTAGTATCACATGCTTATTTTTTCTAATTAGCACCAAATTGTTTTAGATCATATAATAAAAAGCAAAACACATTTGTTAGGAAATAATAACTGTGGTTAAAAAATTGTCGTCTCTTTTGTAAAATTACTGATTTTATTATTTTTGTAATTTTATTTTTCTCTTTAATTACATGAGAGCTTCAGTAGTAATGATTACAATCAAAACTTACGTTTTTTTCCGATTTCTTTTCGTGCATTTGTTCTCACACTTGTCTTTTTACATTACATTCTTAATTTTAAGACATTTTTAGTGATTTATATGCAGTATGTATTATTTGGTTCTGTGCACGAAGCAGTCATTTGAGTTTTATGATTAAACAATGTGCAGTTCTCATGCATATATTACTTCTGTGCTGCTAGGTTTATAACTTGGGAAGATGTGTAAATGACAGGTATATAATTTTAACAAGTTGTAGGTTGTGAAAGCTAAGCACGTACAGAGAGAAGCAAGATGATATGGTACATTGCATGGGAATTGTCTAGAGATATGTATGTGTTGATACAAAATTAAGGTTGGTTTAAATAGCAAGATATAATAACTCGGTAGAAGTAATATGCAGTCTATTGGGTTATGTTTAAAGTTAGGGATACTTAAGTACAGTATACTTTTAAGTTTACAAACAAATTTATAAAGATGATTTTATACCATTACTCAAGATTACATAAACTAAGGCATTAGATTTATACCAAATGATAGAAGAAATAATTATTATCCGTTATTATCTTAACTAGCCAACCTACTGTACAAAAAAAGGCTAGGTAATAGGTGGATATAAAATAATAAAGCCAATCTTAAATTTATGTTTTTCTCTTAAATCATATTTCTCAAAACTTGAAATACCGAGAGAATTTAAAGTAGCACCAGGTAAATTAAAATTGTAACTTTATTTGCCCATCACACTACCTGGTTTTCTCTATATTGTTCTACATTTACAGAAGTTTTTAACCTTCATGTTTCTTGATTATTTTTTTTTCATCACTTGTTAGCTCACTCTATTCACTCTATTCTCTATTTGCAATGTTGGCAAGAACTGGGCATGTATGAACTGTATTCTTGAGTGTCCCTTAAAGGAGGTCATGCACAATTGACTCTCCCTCCCATTCCCATTCTGTTACCCACATGCCATACCTGTCCATTTCTCTGGCACCTGTTTCCCATTCCCAGGCACCCTTTCATATTTACATTTTTGGATTCCCATTCCTGTTCACCCAATATCTAGGACCAGTTCTTTACTCCTAGTCTGTCACCCAAATCCCCTTTCTTATTTTTGAAATGACAAGAGAGAAGCTGGAGGACCTTAAGACCTTAATGACATAGGGTTCCACACACCACTAACACTTCTAGTAGCCCTCCAAGATACTACAGACAACATGGGAGCAGTTGGCGAGTTGGAATTCTATTATTCTTAACCAACAAACCTCTCACACCCATTCACAAGAGGATGAGCATCAGTAGGCATTGTACTGGGTAAGTGTTAGTAGAAGTAGTTATTTTATTGCTGCATTTGTGGCCTTAATGTATTTTTCCTATTAAATTATCACACCCTCAATCTCCAGTAAAATACTTACAATATGAGACATTGTTCATTAACCCTTGGGCTTTGGGCTATGCTCAGCTACCCACCTCCTCCCTCTCAGGTATATTTGAGAACATTTAAAAAAAAACATTTCTAGTCTTACAAACTGGCCATGCATGATATTAACAGGAAATAAGTAAATGTCCTTACCACATGTTGGCAACACAGGCTAGGAAGAGTCAAGAATGTTCATGAAGTGGTGTGTGGATGTGTGTGACGCAGTAGTAAGAGGTAAACAACACTAATTTGTAAGCAGTATGATGTACAGGACACTTGTTTTACAATGTCGTTACTATTTACATTATTAAAAATCATTATTACTGCTCCAGTAATTGATCACAATACAGGTACTCCTCGACTTACAACCACCCGGACATATGACCGCCGCAGTCGTATAAAATATTTTTCAAATTACATATTTTCGAGTCCCGACGTTAGTGATCGCGCTGTGTACTGACAAAATTTTCGTTTGTAATTCCCTTTAAAATGGCTGGCAAGCGTTAAAGTGAGAGTTCTCGTGGTGCTGAGAAGAAAAAGAGACACCCATTTTAGATTTTCTATGTACCTGTATTATATTATTTTCGCATTTTCGACTTACGACCAATTCGACTTACGACCTGGTCGTCAGTCCCTAACCCCGTCGTAAGTTAAGTCGAGGACTGACTGTACTGTACTAGACTTGTGGGGGAGGGGGTAGAAACACATGGTGAAGTGAGTCAATTCCAAGGGCAAGATGCCTGTCACAAAAGCTAAGTACAGTAGCTACTGAGAAGAGACTGGGAGGCTCTCATGTGTGGGTGAGTGAGAGATAAATATGTCCTTGGCAACATAATCTAGCCAGGCCTGTCCTTTTTATTCAAATAGACCCGCGAAAGAATTAAGCGTCATGTGACATGACCCGAAGCTCTACAAACACACGTCCCAGGACATTACTCATAGATTAGGGGTTAAAATCTAACACTCACTTATTTGGTGATTATATGCATATTTTTAAGTTGAAAACATTCAATTTCTCATTTTTAAAAAACTTAGGCTTGTCACTGTTTTACACATCTGATAATGTATTTAGGTTACCCTTGTCAATCTAGTCAGAAAAGAATCACATTTTCCCTGCACTATTAGCAAGCAACTAAAGAGCTCCAGTTCTGTTTTAAATAAAAAAATATTATATCACATCGGGGATATAAAAAAAAAATAGATTTCACATTGTTTATTTGAATACACCAAAGTACAAAGGTAATCTTGTGATTGGTCGAGCATTAATTGGAATGTGGTAATTCAATGAAAGGCACATGTCTAAAGGCTTCTAGGGGATTGGAGAAGAATTGGTCCAAGGTAGTCCTGGCTTACCATGTAACCCTCTGTTAATATCAGTGCTTTTGGTAAGGTTATAATAAAGTATAAAAGAACATCAGTATACTCAATCCTCAGTTATACTTAGAACGAGTATTGTATCTGAATGGCTTCAGATATTTTTTTAATAATTGGGACCAAAGTTTTCTCATTACTGCTTATTTTATTATCAAATAAGTACATCTACATCATTCAAAATTCTGCCTATCTTTATGATAAATATATGTTATGCTATTGGTGTGAAAATTTAACAACTCATAATGGAATTCTGAAATTATTCTGGTATTTTGAATTACCTCATTAAATTAACGATTGAGTTTTCATTTCACTCTAAATTGTAGTAACCATCTAATCTTTTGCAATACAGTACCATGGACTATGATTTGTTTAATTTTGAGAAAGTAAAGTATACTGTGCAGGTGTACTTCATTAGGTCACCCCTCCCAGCACAGTACAGTGCACAAAATATAGCATGACTCAAAAGGGGAAAATGAATTCTGAATGATATCATAGATAATATCCAATGGATCTCTACAATACATGCACAGGTAATATAATTTTCACTTTATAATTTTTACTTCTTTTCAGACATGTGAAGAGTTGAAGGTTTACTCAATGTAGTAATAATACTGTATCATCACTCATTTTCTTTTTCTTTATAGTTTGTCAAGGAAATACATAGAAAACCTTGACAGACGTTTGTGAAATTTTGGATGTATGTTCCAGTGAGAAATTGTGCATTGTAAACCATTGGGTCTCTGACATAACTTTAGAAGCAAAGCACCGACATTCTAAACCTTGCTCAGTTTAGGCCAGACACTGTACATGCACAGTCTTTGATCCTTACTTTGTAGGGTAATAATGCTCTTTTTTGTGTGTGTGTGAATTTGACCATTGTTGCTTAAACTTGGGGGGGGGGGGGTGTATGGGATTCCAAATCTAATATCTCATTGTCATATGAATGACAAAACAACACCAATACTGTACTACTGTAATTGCATAAAAATGGGATTTAGGGTTGTAATAATTTTTTAGGTGAATTATTAAGAAAATTAATAACTCCTCTGCAAAATATTGTATGATTACACTGGAACAATATTTAACCTTGATAAAAGTCTCATATACAGTATACATTATACAATAATTTCAATTTTGTTGACAAAATAAATTCTCCCAACAATCAGGATTTATCATACTCGTGCTAGGAACATTATTGTTACCACCACTTTGGAGGTACAGTATATGATATTCATTCCACAATAATCACCATTTGTAAACTTTATGTTAGATTTCAGCATTTAGATTGTGAATTTTACTTACCTTTATTCATTTTAATAGACTAATTAAAAAAATTATGAAACATTCAATTCTTTTCATTACAAAGAATTTTCCAATTTATTACAGACACACAAGCAGTCCTTGATTTAGAAAAGGGTTCTATTCTTGAAGACATTTTTTTTTTACTGTACCTGTACATTGATTTTTTTTATAAATCAGGATCCCATTTTCCCAGAATCCAATTGTAAAAGCCGAAAAATGTTGCTACGGTGGTTAAAACGCACCAAAATGGCTTAAACGCTACAAAGCATGTTTTTAAAGAAAATTTTTGATTACAGTCGGGGACAAGAAGTTCGTTCCCTGTGGTGAAACTGAGTCACAAGAATGACTCTCCGAATTGACATATCCTGACTGTTTCATCTCATTTGGGGTTGTGCTTCTTCATTTTTGGCGGGAGCAAACTTTTGACCCCGACTGTACCTAATCTAATAATTATAAGCCAATAATGGACATTTTAATTTAAATACCCTGTACATGAAGTACTGTTCAGTAATTTTATACTTACAAGAAATCTTAGTGCTTGAAACTTGTTGAAAAATTGTGCCACTATACCCTTTCCACATTAACCTGGCCCGTAGGCCCTGCCCCTCTTCTATACTAATAGCTGATTGGTTCATAAAAAATTCAAACTAAATGTGTTCACAATTGGTAAGCAGACCTGTTGTTATCTAAAATAATGTTAAATATATGGATTATCAAAATGCAGATAGTTTATATGGATTATAAAAATGCAAATAATTTCAAGGCATTAGTATGTCAGAGAGGATGGTAGAAATTTTTTAATATTTATTATAAAATGTTGATATAAGTAAGCTCAGTCCGGGTGATGTAAAAGCTCAGGGGAACCAATCGGCGATTTGTAGCTACTGTATAGACAAGGGGCGGGGCTTACGGGCCAACTTAGCGTAGAAATACTATAGCTGTTATGAAATGAGACTGCGAGGCCCAGCCAAGACGTATGGTTTTAATTTCATAGTGATGCACCACCTGTAAATCTATTGCACTGTACATAGACTGTACAGTACAGTATACATGTTTTGCTTTCACTGGATTTGATTTTTGATGAGGTTTTTACGTGAATTAGAAATGCTTAACTCTTTCATTCAACATTTTATTCTTCCTAATGACATCTAGGATACTAAACACATCAGCATTCCTACAGTAGATATGCATTCTACAAAAAGAAACAGGTTTTACAGGTTATTGCAACTTGTGTATCACCTCTTACTGATTTTTCAATGGTAATACTGTACTTCATGAGCCACCTATTTAATATTAAATGCACACTACTTTGAAACTTAATAAAGCACCATCAGTAAAAAAAAAAAAACTTCCCTAACAAAAGAACTGAATTTTGTATATTTATGATGCATTTTGAGATACAGACTGTACAGGCAGAGATAAAAATATTCCCTTGTGCAGTACTGAACTGTATTGGTTTTGTGTCCAGTGTTTATCATTTATGCTTGTGATCTTGTCTCTTTAATAGAGGTGCTTAATATTGGTCACCACTTATATGTGGAAGATAC